TCAATAACTTTCAAATGATTTCAGTTTTCAACTACTTAAATACCCGAGTGGCTTGATAATTGTAGTGCTTCAACCTATATTTATTAAGATGGTCTGATGACATGTAAAACATCCATACAGGAATAATCTTAATCCAACTTATTTTTGGCATTATTTCCTTATTCTCAAAGCCTGTGGTTTTTTCCATTACATATGTTACCAAATATATAATCTATAGAGGGATGTAGAAACACTTATTTGTAAAACTGAATAACTATAAAGAATAAATAAAATGAAATTGTTTGTACTCTTGAAAACATATTTTACATAAAATGGTGAAGTATTTCAGAATCTGTTCTTTTTTGTTGATAGAAATTCAAATATTTCAAAAAGTTGCAGAAAGGCCAACAATTATTTTTCAAACTTGCATTTTGTTTAAAAAATGCCTAAACCACAATTTCAATTCATAAGAATAGAAATTGTTTAATAAAAACGATATTTCAAACTGTTCAAAGCTGACTCATACTGTTAGTAAGTACCACACACACATCGTAGGCAGTGATATATTTTCCTATGAAACTAAGATGTGACTACATTCAAATAAAAAGCTATTTATAAATAACTAGAATCGCATAATAAATTATTATAGCATTTATATCCCCTTAGGCCAAAAATTCTAGATGTAAAGTATATATTAGTGTAACTTGATGTATTGTAGGTCAAGTCTAATAAAACTGCATTGATATTCTTATATATGTGCGTGCAGTAAACATTTATTGAAAACAGAAATTTCACAATGAAACAGGAATTTATAAAAAGTTGAATTCATTTAAATGTAGTTCAATGCACTATTGTACTTTAAAAACTTGATTTTGAAATAAATAACTTAAAAAACAAAATTGCCATTCAACGATAGAATTAACCTTAAATATTCTGATGAGACTATCTATACAACTTTATAAGGTGAAATTCTAAATGACCGGAGCTCATACATCCAAGGGTATTAGCAGTAAAAAGCCTGAGAGCAGTTGTGGAAAACAAAATGTAGAGTTTCTTTTCCTGATTATACCCTCTGCCAAAGTCCTCTTTGTAGAATACTAACATTTGGAGAGTGTCTGACAGTAGAGCCAGGGTTCCATATCCCAATCAGTGGTTTCAAGGAAATTTTAAGGAAATCCAAGTCAAACATACATATGTTTCTGTCTAAATAAGTTTTAGAACCCCTGAATCATTTTGAGATAGCCCCCTGTTTCTCTTAAACAGGCAGTATGGTATTGGTAACATTTAAGCAATTATAATTCTAAACAACAAGTCTTTAATCTCAACAAGTCGCAGTGACCTGCAAGTCTCATAAACCTTTACACACCATTTAACAAAAAATGTGAATTAACAATACACTAGTATAAAAACACATACTGTACAACATTCTGAAACATACATAGTTCAATTTTATTTTCTAACTTTATATAATGAGTGTAAGTAAGAATCATTAAAAATATTCATATTAAACGACAAATAAGCATACAGCTTAAAAGAAAGGGGAAACAGGAACAAAACGGGTCTGTAAGATTACACGAGGCCTAGTTGCCCCGATGTTATCTGAACTGTCTGAAACAAGAAGAATCTCTGAAATATCAAGGAAAGCATGTTTCAGGAGCAGTTAAAAAACTTTAATGATAATGCAACACTGAGTACTGATTAGCCATATAAACAGAAGACAGTTTTCCTCCATTAAACATCAAAGGAGTATTTACAAAAACTGATGCACTCCCGATCCCATCATTAATAATTCTCTTTCATTTTTATCTTCCATAGCTTCTCCTGCTACACTTCAGTTCTAGCAATTTTAACAAAAAATCAAAAACAAGGTTAGAACGTCAAGGTAAAATCTTGACACATTTTCAATCACCTTATAATCATTCTAGCATAAGGTGAAGAGAAAGAATTAGGAAATGTGCACAAGAATAGTCTGATGTATGTCAGTGACACGTGAGTACCTTAGAGAGAGAGAGGTAAGATAGAAGTGTTTACTAAAGATAGCGACCATCCACACTCTCAAGGTGCTCTAATTCATTGCCCATGAAGATCAGCAATTCAAAGAGAATATTCCAAAAATCACGGATTTGCACGTCTACTTGATTCCAAAACAAGTTTATGTAAATAACGTTAAATGCCATCACGATAAAGAAAGAATAAATCAGCAAATAAATCGCCGAGGAATGTGTGATGGAAGAAAGTCAGTGGAAGTTTTTCTTCCTTAATTACTACAGTATTTATGAAGCAAAGTCTGTCCTTGTGCCAATGATTGCCACTCAAGATAGCATGACCATCCATTCTGTCATTTAGTTTTAAATCAGAAGCAGATTTATTTTAAATATCAATAATTAAAATTTAACAAATCTAAATAGTCTTTGAACACCCCCCCCCACCCCCAATGAAATATGCATTAACACATTTGTGGGTATACCTTGATATAAATACTGCTCTTGTTTCTGGCATATTTAAAAACTTTTTTTTTAAATCACCACTGACCACACCATGTTTTCCCTCAAAGGATCCCTATACCAGACTAGAATCTCAGAGACTTTGTCTTTAAATTCAAGGATTCCATACATTTCCATTTTCCATACATTTACACCCCCTCCTTACGTTTGACAATGAGAGGTTGGATAGTGTATTAGATAGTGTATAAGTGTGATAGTGTATTAATTTTGTTCCCCATTTTCAATGGATTGGAAATTTAGGATTTTGTTAAAATAACCAAACATATAATATGTAGACTTTAACAGGTGGTCCAAAGAGAACATTCAAGCTTCTAGTTGCCAAACATATTTGCAGGGGAGTGTAGTTGCCAAACATATTTGCAGGGAGTGTAGTTGCCAAACATATTTGCAGGGAGTGTAGTTGCCAAACATATTTGCAGGGGAGTGTAGTTGCCAAACATGCAGGGGAGTGTACCATGGGAAGAACAAGAATGTTTCTATTTGCAACTTATAATTAATCCTCGTACCAGATGATGTTTCTTATGGGATGTAAGACGATAATGAATCAATTATAGATTGCAGTTGAAAACAAGATACATGTGTGAACAATATCTGAATCAAAGTTGTAAATCAATTTATGCAACTAATTACCTCCCAAGCTGATGCCAAAGTCTGAAATGGAGAAGATTTCATAGACAAGCCTCCAAGACAATTTGTATCTCATTTGTGATTATAGATGTGTAAATTTGTAATGCTTGTATAAATGATTTGATCAACAAGTATCTAGACCTTGCATCTGGTTACAATCATATCAATAACTTTGAATCACTAATTTAGCATCATATCAACCAGATGCAATTTCTTGATGTTATTTCAGCACAACATGCAAATTGATACAAAGATAACAATATCTTGTAATTCTATTAATTATGAGATACCATACCCAAGGTTTAAGAATAATATATTTTCTGTAAAATCTTGGCTGCCTCATATAACTTTGACCATGACAATGTTCCTACTGATTAAATATGCTGATATGACACATTGATTTCAAGAAAAATCCCAGACCCTTTTGATAAAGATGTAATAACATTTTCGGTAAATTGAAAATAAAGAGCCAACCTTGAAAAACCTCGAAAAAAGACGCAAAATGAGCTTGAAGTATCACTGCAGTAATGAATCCGGCCTTTTATCTATATACATTACTGAGTTGAGGGTACCCCCTCAAAAAGAGAGCTACAACTACAATATTGTCAAAACAAAGAAAACATACTTTTTAGTCACTAAAGTCTAAGTAAACACTATAATCATTAACACATTTGGTGAGGGACCCATCTCAACTTTATTTTTAATATTGTAACAAACAAGTATTAGATATAGATTGAAAAACTGGTTTGAACTCATGAGGGCAAGTTAAGAGTTGTTTTGACCTATATTTTAAGAAATTGGTAAGATGTGAAGATCCACCGATAGGTCATATATAGGATTACACAGGTGAGAAAAAATAAAAATCTTTTTTCATAAACATTTCAGAAATCCTAGCATTTCAACTTGTAACATAAACTATATCATGATCTGCACTGGATTACCTCAAGCCTAAGTATTTTTTTAGTTTTCCTAAGTGCCACTAGTTAGTTACAGGTTTTGCCAACAGGTGACACACTTGAGTCAGATCACATGCATGTCGTAGTTTGTAGTTTGTCGTACCAAGAAAAATTCATCTAAAATTAGACTGAGCCAACCAATTCTTACCAACCTTCTTTATTATATTTTCTACATAATATTTCTCTCTTGATGATTTCATAATATGGTCTCTATGGGGAATATACTCTACCTAGAAATCGCTTGCACATTCTAAATGTAAATGCTAAAAGTTATAAGTACACTTTATTTAATATTACTTTATAAATCTGAATAGGTGAAAATGTGTCATTGATTGACAGGTGTTCTCCCACCAGAATTTGAACTTTGGGGGCTAAGTTTAAAAAGTTCTCTTTATGGCATTAAAAGGCATACTTGACATTGCATGGGGAAAAATGTTATAGTTATTCAGATGATTTAAAGTGTCAAGTTATCATAACCTGTGAATGTCTTATCTTCATAATAAAACTTATTTCAAATAAATTACGAATAATAATAATAATTAATAATAAATCTATTAGTTCAATTAGTTGGTGCAAGTGATGCTTATTCTGCAAGACATGTGCAAACAGGCCCATAGCCAGAGGGTTCAGACAAAATTTCTTTCCAAATCATGCAGTTTCCACCTTTCTTGGCCCTTTTCAATTTATTTTGAGCCAAAATTGAAACGTAACCCCCCTCCCCCTGGCAAAAGCTGGCTATGGGCCTGCCAAATGTGTCTAAATCTAAGTCTTAATTAGTAAAACGTCTTTGAAATAGGCCAAGTAGCCTTAAAATCTGCAAAAAGGTAAAACTCATCACATAAGGCCACCCTATAAGATTTATACAAGGAAGTGAAAGAAATTTGTTTTTTGGGTTAAATCAAGTTTAACATGTGTTAATTAAGGTGGGTCTTACCATGTAGTTTCTGGTCTTCCTTCTCAATTTGCCAGTAAGTGTTGCCAGATGTTGACGGGTACAGGGTCTTCCCTTTGAGTTGATCAACCTCTCTCAGGCGAAGATGAACTGAAAAAAAAGTTACTATTTTGGCCAAAATATTTCAATATATCACCCTTTTGACAAAATGCACAAGGTTTTCAATGGGGTGGAATGTAATTATCAAATTCTGAACTTGGTGTAGCAGCCGATTGCATCAATAACTCTACTCAGGAGATCAATGCATACAAAGGCAATATTGAGTAATAAAGAGTTTCCACATCTTGCCTTAAGGGGACAGCAATATTAGGATTAAATGATACCACTGCAGGCATCAATCTTCATCAAAAGGAAAAAGATAATAAATGGGATTGTGAAAACCTGTAACAACTTCAATGAATCAAGTGGTTCAAGATTGAAGTATTTAGGAACAGGATTATTTTACATCTTGGGTACATTTTGGAAACATTTATCAGCTTAGCTGATGAGTTACATCTCTAAATAAATATAAGTATTGCCTGGGGCAAAAAACAATTTGTAACAAATTCATCAAGACATTTTTATTTTCATGTTTCTAATAAAAGTTTACATCTGAGATTGACTCAAAACACTTGAAAAAACGTCAAGTTTGACAAGAAGAGGATTAAAATAATAAGTCAATATGATAACCTTAATTCCGCAGTTTGATAACCTTGGTATCATACCAAGTAAAGATGAAATAATACACTTTCCAGCATATTATGCAATCACAAACAATAATTCAGCTTACTGAAATCCTTTGCAAAACAGACACAGGTGTAGCTTCTAAACATTTACATGTATTCTCATATAACATGAATGTAGAAGGAATGTTGATTTTTTCATGCCTTTACCACAAAAATCTCAAAATATTTCCTCTCTTTTGGTTCAAATACCAGCGTTTTTATTGTTTTTAAAGTCAGGGGTCACTTCAAAACATCATCTCATACACATAAAACTAAGATAAAGATTATTTTTTAAGACCTGTAAGGTCATGAAATAAAATATAAAAGTTGTATTTATGAACCTGCAGTGAAAAGTTAAAGGCCACATATAAAGTTTAAACTACTTTGGCTTATATTACCAAATGTTATCTAAATAAGGTATTTGAAAATTTTCAATTTGTTTTCAAAAAGTTGATTTTGAAGGATTTTGCCATGAAAAGTCAATGAAGCATTGAAAAGTAATATTTGAATGATTAAACTATATTTTCGAACTTTGCACAGGGCCTTTAAAGTACATGTCCATATACATTTACATGTTATTGTAGAATGTTCAAGTAGAATGAGACACTTAAACATCTTGATTAGGCCTTTTCAAGTGTAATGACTTAATTATAGGGCTACTGGAGCCATTTTCCCAAAAACTTCAGGGATTCGGAAAGCTGAGAGGTCAAATCAGTTTAAATATACATGTAACTATATGGACATGTATATAAATAGCATGCAACTGGAATTAAAAGACCAATTTTCTCAAAAAAAAGCCTTTTTTTAGAAAAAGAGCCCCAAAAGAGGCCTTGTGTTTTCTCCCTCAAATCTGCAAAGCTGTCACTTACCATCTTCAGTAAAAGGTTCCCCAAATACACCCTCAGCCACTACATAGGCCTCCAGATCTTTGTGAAACAGCCTCAAGACAGACCCACTCTATAAAAGGAAAATGCAATCAACATTTTTCAAAGGTATAATTCATATAATGGTAAGTAAGTGAGCATCAACAAACAGAAAAGTCACTTGCTTGGAGAGATGACAGTTCAAAGTCACTCAACCATTTGCAATTGTTCAACTTAGCTTCTTAAAGAGAGCTTCATCTTCATGTATAACTAGATTGTATGCAGGGTAAAGTCACTAATACAAAAATTACATAATATGAAATTAATGCAAGCAAAGTAAAGACCTGTGTCGGAATTGTTTAGAAGTACACATCTTAGCAAGAAATACCACCCTTATAGACAAGTTACACCGATAAAACCATTGACATTTAAGGACGGATAAGACTTAAAAGCAAATGATAAATATGATAATGAGAGAGCTTATCAAATCCTCTGGGTCTCGTTATAGACTCTAATGTTAATCTGCTGTGCCTATTCCGCACCATTTCTCTCTAAAGTCACAAATACATTATTTTTACTATAATTGCAAACTGCTTTATTTCGCCAATTTTGTACAATTTCTTTTAATTGGAACTTGATATATTTTCTCAAACCTCTGGTGAATTAAATAGCAATGTATTAAAAGTGGCAACTGCTCCAAATCAAATACATGCCCAATCAAATCAATTGACTTATTCAGCTCTTGCAGAGAGGAGCCAGCTATCAAATCCTAGGGGGCCTAACTTTCTCTCTAAAATCATGGCCAAAACATTGATGGATAAGATATTTTGGGCAACAGTAAGGCCTATACAAAATAATTTTTGGAATTAAAATGACTTAGTCATTTGACATTTTGTATTTTATTTTACATTAAAATTACAAAAATACATGTCAAAATGTCAAAAGAAGGCAAGAAAAAAGGCTTGAATAGGGCGGTTTAGGAATGATCCAATGGGCATGCTAAACAGATACTTAATTTGGCCTCAGACCTAAGACCAAAAATCTTGCATCAGGTAATTAATCAGGTAATTCAGGCTGGGGTAAAGTTTGTAAAACAAAATTTTCAGTTTTGATAGTTGGACGGGAAAAATCCAGACCCAGAATCTAATTAATTCCAGGTTTCAATCTGCTATTTCTTGCTAAGATTCTACTCATTTCAACATAATATTTTGCATTTAGGAAAAGAACACGAAATACCACAAACTTTGTAGGTACATCTCATACTTAAAATTGACTTACCCTAATAACATTGTCAGTTTCCTCAGAGGGTCTATAATGTTTCACCACTGTGAATCCTGCCATGTCCACTCCCAAGTTCAACTCTGACCTGTCATATAACATCGATGTATTTAATTAAAGTCAAGAAGATACAGTGGGAATTGAGGGGGGGGGGGTTCTATCGAAATATAGTATATGGACACCAAAACACAATTGACATCTCAAAGTAAAAAGGATTTATAACATTTAAGCTCTAATTTGGGTTTCTTGAGATATGTTAGGTATAAAATGCTCCAAACATCATTAATATAAGGGCATGTGGGGCTATACAAAAAGAAACTTTTTTCTCATATTTTACAGTTATATATTTTGTAGTTGCTCTAGATAATTGATTACAGAAAGAATATCCAGACTGCAAAGAGCTTACAATGAGAATACTTCAACAATAAAACTTTAAGACTCACCCTGTAGAGAAGTGATCTATCTTATAGGGGGCACTGGCATGAAAATACTGCCCAGGAGTTTTGGCACTCTCAAATATGACCTGATCCAATATCTGGACAAACTCGCCTTCAGCTTTCACCTTGTATTTTGGCAAAACACGGAACTGAGCTGCCTTTGCATTGTAACTGTGTAATTGCACCTAAAACATTATATGAAAGAATATAGTTTTTCCCTTATCATGTCCCTATCCAAAAGATATTACAAAGTTCCATTGTACGTGTACTTACAAAATACATATACAGCAAAAATAGTATGTCAACAATCAAATGAGTAAATGAGATTATGCATTTTCAAAAATCAAAATTATTTTAGGAACATGCATCAGGAAATCTCATCCTTCATTTCATTTTAAAATACCAAGTAAAAATGTTAATCATGACAGAGAAAGTCAAAAGTTCCTGAATGAAGTGCATTATGCTTTTCAAAATAAATGCTTTTTAAAATAAATTCTTTTTAAAATAAATGCTTTTTTATAATAAATGCTTTTTATAATATAAATGAAATCAACAAACCATGATATTATTTTTATCTCTCCGACTAGCCTGGTTGGGATTTGCATGAATGAACTTCTGTGTAAACACATGTTGAAGCTGAAATACATAACAATATACAGAATATCAATGATCTTCCTTGAAATAAACAAACAATATACAGAATATCAATGATCTTCCTTGAAATACATAAACAATATACAGAATATCAATGATCTTCCTTGAAATAAACAAACAATATACAGAATATCAATGATCTTCCTTGAAATACATAAACAATATACAGAATATCAATGATCTTCCTTGAAATACATAAACAATATACAGAATATCAATGATCTTCCTTGAAACACACAAACAATATAAAGAATATCAATGATCTTCCTTGAAATACACAAACAATATACAGAATATCAGAGATCTTCCTTGAAATACATAAACAATATACAGAATATCAATGATCTTCCTTGAAATAAACAAACAATATACAGAATATCAATGATCTTCCTTGAAATACATAAACAATATACAGAATATCAATGATCTTCCTTGAAATACACAAACAATATACAGAATATCAGAGATCTTCCTTGAAATACATAAACAATATACAGAATATCAATGATCTTCCTTAAAATACATAAACAATATACAGAATATCAGAGATCTTCCTTGAAATACACAAACAATACACAGAATATCAATGATCTTCCTTGAAATACACAAACAATATACAGAATATCAATGATCTTCCTTGAAATACATAAACAATATACAGAATATCAATGATCTTCCTTGAAATACACAAACAATATACAGAATATCAATGATCTTCCTTGAAATACATAAACAATATACAGAATATCAGAGATCTTCCTTGAAATACATAAACAATATACAGAATATCAATGATCCTCCTAAATAGATCAAGCGGGGCTGCAACTTAAACTATATGCTACCCCATTGAATATATATGTGGACCCTGCCAGAAAGGTGAACTATAGAGCTTTTTTGATAAAACAGGAAATAAAAGGGTTGTTCAAAAAGTTCTGATTTATAGGGCAAACAGTGCAGAACTTTTAGAACAATCCTCACATTAGGATTAGATACACAGGTTGTAAAAAATCCTGAGGTGAAACATCTTTTTAATGAAATATTTACTTGTCAATATATAACACTCCCTTGAGTAGCAAGTCCCACCAAACAGAACATATTTCAGAAAATCAAGTCATTCATGCACATTGAAGATAGCAGAAGAAATAGACATAAGGCATAAGAGACACACATAAGGTATCAGATTTTCGGAAGGATAAAAGGAATTTTTCAAACAAGGATTTGAGTTTCCAATGATCTGTATAGATATAAGATTGTTCTCCATTCTTTGCTCTCTTTTCAAGTGGCTGCAAAATTCTTGTTTTCAGAATTTAAACCAGGGTCAAAGACTCAAATTTTTCATGATTTTTCTCATTTTCAAGAGGGTGCAAATATATGGACTATCGCTGGTTTATCTTTATTAACACTGTGTACAATTTGATCAAAATGCATAAAATACACAACATATTACATTTTATATAATCTTTTCTTGACCTTGTTTAGTAAGAAATTTACTTTCTGTTTTCGTAAAAGCCTGTTAAATATTTTATAAATTACTATCGATTACTTCATATTTTTCTATTTTGGCAATATTCAACAAACACATGCACATATTAGGACTTTCAATGGGTGAGTTGAAAGGTATTTTGTAAATCCAATGGTACAGTGTATATAAAAAAAATTAAAGGAGCAAGCCATATACTAGCTCAATAGCCTAAACATTTTCCCAGTGAGAGGCCAAAGTTAATGCTTTACCAAGTTAACATTACAATGTTATATCTATTACTTGTGTAATTCACTGCATCATAATTGTTCAAAATTCATTGGCACATTTTTTATGTCAAGGTCTCATGACAAAAGGCTGGCTAATGGCTCACTTAAACCTCAAACATACATGTGATTTTAAGCATTTGAATAAAAAATATAATTCAAATAAGCTACGTTCACACCAACGGCGCTTTGATGGCGCTTTAAAGCGGCTTGTAAAGCGGCACCAAAGCGTAACAAAGCTTGATTAAAGCGTCGGGGTCGTAATAGGTCGTAGAAAAGCTCGGAGTAAAGCGGGATATTCGGCAAGAGCGCCAAACATTTTTAAAGCTACTTTCACACCAACGCCGAATGCCACGCTTAAATCGGCGAGCAAAGCGCTGTCATTTATGTTTACTTTTCCAAAAATATCACGATCTCCTAAGTAATGTTACGCTCTGATAAGCTCTGATACGCTCTGATTTCCCGACTTATTACGGTTCCTCACGCTATGATCCCGCTTCGACCAGGCTTTGTTACGCTTAAAATCACGCTTTGATAAGCTTTGGTAAGCATTATTACGCTTTGATGCGATTATGACGCTTTAATCAGGCTCTGATACGACTGCCAAGCTCTGTTGTGCATTTTCGAGATCGCCTTTATCATGACGCTTTTGATCAAATGGCTGTATAAAGATGCAGTAGATCCATAAAACCATTGCATCTGTGACTCGAGAAGACGATGGCAGAACAACAAGATCCAGAATTTCCAGATGGATCAGATCATGACCTATCTGAAGAAGACATGATATTTGTCGCACCGCGTGAAAGAGCGTGAGAAAGCGTGAGGAAGCTTGTCAAGCGTAACAAAGCTTAACAAAGCGTTTTAATCCTTGATTAAAGCGTCTCAATTCCTTAAAAAGCTTGAGAGTCCTTCATGAAAGCGTAACAAAGAGTGTCAGATATTGATGAAAGCGTCTGACCTCGTGTCAGATCTTCATGCCAAATCGTAGCAAAGCTTGAGACTTCTAAACGAAGCGTGTCAAGTGGTAACAGACCGTGAAGAGACTGGGGTCCCCGCTTTGAACCAAGCTCTGTTAAGCTTCCCTACGCTTTGGGTCAAGCTTTGCTGAGCTCTGTTACGGTGTGTTAAGCTTTGATATGCTCTCGGCGCTTTAATCAATTCGTAACAGAGCGCTCAAAATGTTTAAACAGTTTAAAAAATTTTGGCGCTCTTGCCGAACATCCCGCTTTACTTCGAGCTTTTCTACGACCTACTACGACCCCGACGCTTTAATCAAGCTTTGTTACGCTTTGGTGCCGCTTTACAAGTCCCTTTAAAGCGCCATGCTTTGGTGCCGCTTTGCTCACCGATTTAAAGCGTGGCATTCGCCGTTGGTGTGAACGTACCTTTAGTGAAAGCCATTCAGATTTTTCAAAAATGTTTTTGATTTTTTGTGTGCCCCTTGCTTTATTTTTAGATTACATGTACTAATATTTCAATAGTATATTGAAAATAAAAAGCTAACTTGAATTTTTATTCTTAGTTATCACAAAATCTTTAAAAAATGCTTCTCATTCAGCCCAATGAAGGCAATGATACCATTTCCATAGTAGTATTGCATCAAGCTCTTTTGACCTCCCCCAAACACACATCTCGCCATTGGAAGTTTTTGGATGGTTTAAAATAGTAATCCCTTACATGTTTCAATGATTTTTATGATTATATTCCACTGAATACCAAAAATTCAAAATATTTCTATGATAAACCGCTGAATACCAAAAATTCAGAATATTTCTTTGCTATTCCACTAAATACTGAAACTCAAAATATTTCTATAAAATTCCACTGAATACTGAAACTCAAAATATTTCTATAATATTCCACTGAATACCAAAAATTCAAAATATTTCTTGTCTGTCATTTCTACCTCTTTTAAAGTCTGTAACTGTACCAGAAATATCTTTTACAAGTCAAGAACTCAGAAGTGCAGCACATCAACACATTAATTGCTCTACTTCTATTATCAAAAATATTGTAGCAACATGTTCTGGTTAATTTGAACTTAACAAAACAATAAAGTATTTGTTTCTCACTTTGATTCAACTATGACTCCAAATTTGCCTGCTGCAGACTACTGTACTTCTACTTAATTTACATTTAATTTGGCGCTACTAATTTTGGCAGATTTGTGTTTAGAACATTTGGCAGCTACTTAATTTGGTGATTAATTAATTTAGTACATGATACTTAAATTACCAGGGTATTTGGTGGCTTCTTTATTTGGTGGACTTAAACATTTTGGCGGTTCTGCCAAATTAAAATGGCCACCAAACTAAGTAGAAGTACAGTACTTCCCTGTGACCATTACACTTACAGTTCATTTAACATGTATTTGATATTATTTGACAAATGGTACATACTATGTCAAATGTATATTTTGTGGGGTTTATTGGGAAGGAATGGAAAGGCAAAGTCCAATTTTTGCAGAATTTAAAAACTGCTCAGAAAAAACCTTAACACCTAAAAAGCTCAAACTGACACTCATTAATCAAGTGGCGAAAAGGATTAAAGGCCCCATGCAAACTTTATATGGGGCCTTTAAAGTGTTGATATTCTGTTTAAAGTCAGATATTTCACCTAGGCTCCCTGATCGTATTTTGTATTTGAATATAGGTTGCATCAAAAATCTGTTAACACTTTATGTCCAGCTTGAACCTAAAAATTTTGCACAATTATTCAAATATGTATGCCCATGGGCATATATACCATTGGAATGAGCATGCATTTTCAAAATCTAGGCAGTTACAACAAACTGAGTGGTGTGGCTCATAAGGTAATTGATGTTTTTATACTGATGTATTTGAAAGCAATGTAAAATTAAAATATAAAAAATCAGCGTGGCCCACTAATGCTTTGAACTAAACCCATTTATCGGACTAGGAATTAATAAATATTTATATTTTTATTTATTTTTATTTAGACATATGCTTTTAGAACAGCAGCACCCTAACATTTAAATGCTAGGTGCGTCTACATATACAAAATCACATACTATTAAACATTTAAATAGAAATTGCTAAAATCATACAGTTCTTGGTTTAAAAATTTTGACTAAAAACTGTTTGACAATTTTGTCAAGACTAGAATTAATATCATGCCCCCATTCCACATTATCACCAAGCATGGTCGTTAACTTTTGATCATTACTTGATGCAAGCAGTGTTGCACAAAGATCACTAGAGGCATATGTATTAACATTACTATAAAAAACAGATCTTTCCTTGGTAAAAAAGGGACACAATAATAATCTATGATGCATTGTATCTTTCACTTCAAGTGTGCACAATTTACATATTCCATCACTCTTATCCCATTTTTCATAGTTTGTTTCTAAACAAAAGTTGTTACTTCTTGCTAAAAACTTTAGTCTCGCACCATAAAAATCTAGATCATTTTTCAAGTAGTTCTCTAGTTTGTAGTCAGATTTCACATTTTTGTAGATGTAAAGAGAATCATGATTTGAGATGCTCTCATGAAACTTTTCTAATCTTTGTGCTTTAGATATGTCTAAAAATGAGGAAAACCAATCGCAATCGTTTCTGTAAATAACATCATCTAAGCCCTTATCTGTAACACTTTTATGTATATTGGATATAAATTTCCAGTATGACTCTTTACCTTCCTTATAACATTGTAGTAATGACCTTAAAACTTTGTGAGGGAGAGAAGATGTAGGTAAATCATAATTGAGATAATTAAAATACTCTAGTTGTCTTTTTTCCAAAATGTCACACAATGGTTTCCATCCTAGATCACCTAGTAATGCTTCTCTTGCTGGCTTACTTTTAATTTGAAAAACTGCTTGACCTGCGGAGTATTGGAATGCATTAATTTTGGATTTGGCTGACTTAGAAAGAACCCATGTGGGGCAACCATGTAAGAGCGCAGGCATTACCATTGAATTAAATATGGTACTTCCAAAATCAAATCTTTTAACATTACAGTGTTTTGCCAATGTCATGGTTATGTAATTTTTCATATTCTTCGCTTTCTTTTCAATATACTTAATGTGGGATGTTTCTTTTAAAGATCTGTTGAACATTACACCCAGATATTTATATTCATTGACTTCAGGAAGTAAAAGCTTTCCCAAATGCCACTTTTTCTTTCGATCAATTCGTTTTCCAATTATCATTACTTTTGACTTTTTTTCACTGAATTGCATACCCCACTTAAGCCCAAAATCATTTGTAATAGAAAGCATTTTCTGTAATTCCATTTCTGTCTGGGCCATAAGGACAATATCATCTGCATATAAGAGACATGGGATTTTAGAGTTATTATATGGCAAGCCCAGAGTGGACATATTAAGACTATCTACAAGGTCAGTCATTACTATGGAAAAAAGGGTGGGAGATAAAATACAGCCCTGTTTAACACCAGATGGTGTGTCAAAATATTCAGTGCTATATTGACCAAAAATAACTTTGTTTGTGGAATTTGAGTATAAGGATTTTAACATTCGCCATGTCTTTCCCTGTATTCCCTTTTCCCAAAGTTTAACAAAAAGGAGATCGCGGTCTAGAACATCAAAAGCTTTAGAGATATCAATAAAGGCAAGATAAGAATTGAGCTTTTTATCTTTTCTTAGGCTACAAAGCCCCTTAAGGGTAAAAATGTGGTTCTCGAGTCTTTTCCCTTTTTGGTAAGCACCCTGAAGGTCACCAAGAATGTTATTGTCTCTTAGAAAATTCATAATCTGAACTTCGAGTATTCCTGAAAAGAGTTTATAGACATTGGAAGTAATTGTGATTCCACGGTAGTTATTAAACACTTCAGGGTCACCCTCTTTATATAAAGGCTTTATGATACCACATTGCCATTCATCTGGAATATGTTCATGCATTTTGATGAGGTTAAAAAGATCCGAAAGTGGTTGGGCAATGATAGTTTTCCCCTTTTTAAGAAACTCATTAGGAATCTGGTCAACACCCATTGCTTTACCATTGGCAAGCTCTGATATTTGTGTTGAAATTAGAGTAGGATCAATGTTTATTGTGGTCATTGCATTAGCATCAAAATTAATGTTAGTCCCTAATTCTTTTACTCTTTCGGCTGCATTGTTTGGGGGAGACATTGGATTTCTATATTTTGACCCTACATTCTGCCAATATTGTTTTAGAGCATCATTAACCTTTTTGGGATCTGTTATCACATTATCAGGGTCGTCTGGATCTTTCATTCTAATAGGGAAATTACTTTTTGCATTGAATTTTTTAAGGGTTTTCCAATAGCTTTTTGAGGATTTGGAGCTTTTATGAGCATTACAAGTAATAAGTTTGATATGATTTTTTACCCTGTTTTCATTAATTTTAGTGGTAACTTGCTTTTTTAGGTCTTGGTAGATTTCCCAGAGTTCTTTAATAACAGCAGGGTCAGCCGACTCTGATTTCTGCCAAAGCCTATGAAAGTGACTTGCATCTTTTCTATTTTTGATCAACTGCTTTAGTTCTAAATCCCAGAAATCCCTACAATTATTTGAAATTTGCTTTAACCCAATTGAAGTTTTTCCAGCATTAATTAATTTTGACTTGAAAGAATGCCAAATAGACTCAACGTCATAATGGTTGTCTAATGACCAGGATTTGAACTCATCACTCAAGGCTAATTGAAATGAATCCCAATTGGTGTCATCCTTAATATCCCAACGAGTGTATGAACTAGGAACAGTTTTACTCTGTAAGGGTTTGTGTTCATGTATAATGTTACCCTTGATAATAATGACATTATGATCGCTTCCTATTGAAACATCCTTAGATTCATCAATCACCATGTTATCAAAACAGTTAGAAAGAAAATGTTCATTAGCTAAAACATAATCAATAGTAGACACTTGTTCATTACGTGACCATGTTATCTCACCATGGCACCTATCAGAGCAATTTAGGACGTGCATATTGGAAACCTCGTTGAACATTTGTAAAAGATCACCATTTGGGCTCGAAAAATTGGCCTTTCTGAAAAAAGGCAGTCTTCCATTGAAATCACCCATGATTAAGATATTACTGTTATCATTAATGGATGCAATATTATGTGTGAGCTCATCAAATAAAGATTGGGATGTTTCCATGTCCCGACCATCACAAGGGAAGTATACTGAGCAGACATGGAATATTTGGTTTCCCATTTTAAGTTTCAACCAATAACGCTCATATTCATCATCTTTAGAATCAAAATGGTTGTCATCAAGTAAGATTATACTTTTGTGAATTAGAAACCCAACTCCACCACCTTTTTTACCATGTCTGTCTTTACCCTTCCAAACATAGTCATCATTTATTATGGTTGGGGTGTTAGTATCACTGAAAAATGTTTCTGTGAGTGCAAACAGGTCATAATTATGATCGCGAAGAATTTGGTTGAGTTGGATTTGTTTCGCCACGCCGAACCGTTGGGCATTATTATAGGCGAATTTAAAAGATATGTTTTTACGTTTGCGCTTTCTTTGACCTCCTCGTCGATGCGATCGCTTTTTAAGATTATATGATTCACGGTTACGGTAATAACGAGTATGCTTATCATTGTGGAATGAGGGTATGGCTGTGACATAGCCCAAAACCTAGTATTTATTTGAAAAATTGTCATTAAGTGATGGGCATCTGGTTTGCTTGTGCCCTAATTGGTTACAAATATAACACCTCACGGACTGAGGATGCCAACAAGCACTGGCCAAGTGGCTGCTTTCTCCACATTTAAAGCAAGCTGTGGCATTTCCAGATCTGTTTGGTGTTATGTTGGACCTATTATTTGGAAGAGAGTTTGTGCCATTGTTAGGATGGTTTTTATTCCTATTATGGTTAACAGTCTGCCAGCCATCCGAGTTTGGTTGGGTCTGTTTGCGGAGATTAGGGCGTGGCCTTGTAATGTCCTCAAATTTCCTATCAAGTTGCATATTTTGGGCCAATTTGTTAGAACCTGCATAAGTCAGATGGAGACCTCTGTTATCAAGGTAGCCATCATTGATGGAGCCATCCTGTAAACGGAAGGTTTTATCGTTATTGATGAAATTGAGCTTCTCATCAGCATCGCACAAAGAGTCAAGTTCTGCATTCACGGCTGCTAAAACGTCCTGTGCGGATTTCTTGTCAGTGCGGGGGATAATACTGGAGACATGGACTTCATCACATATAGTTTTGGCACCAGTGACCATTAGCTTGTATTCATTGACGATTGGTTCAGGCTTGGCATCTTTTTGGGAGGCATCGTTACTCGCTACTTGTAGAATGATACGCTTGTAAGGTTTTGGTCCTGGTTTATTCAGTTTCGATAAATGTTCATGGACGTCTTTGATTTTGCCCCCGCTTATACATTTCACCTCAGTGTTATTGAGCTTGTTCTCATCAAAGTCTCTTATTATTGAGCTTCCTATTACTAGTGTCTTATCGGATTCATTACTATTCTGTGATTTCAAGGAGGTGAGATGCTTGCGAAGATGTATACATTCATCATTTAGATCTTTGCATTGTGATGTTTTTGCTGCCAATTGAGACACCAAATCAGCATTGGTCGTTTGCATAGCATTAAGGTTGATTTTCATTATTTCCATAGAGTCCTTCAAGTCCACGGTGGTGTTCGAAAGATCATCAATTTTGTCAGTTAAATTTGAGATGGTATTCACTAGGCGTTCAAGTTTGTTGTCGTCGGTTGGTATTTTCACTGATGATTTAGTCTTTCTTGGTCTGCCTCTGGTTTTAATCCTAGTTTGAGATTGCAGTGTTTTTGGAGTTTTTGGAGAGGTAACAGCAGTTATTCGATTCATAAGTCTGGTTTTTCGGATGGTTTTTGGTGATGTTTCTTGAGTTCTAGTACTGTTCTGATCATTAAGCGTGTCATTGGAGTCATTTGTTGGAGTTGAGTCATTTAGAGATGGTCCCTGGCTGTTGGGTGATTCCAAAGTTGACCCCATTTGGGAAGGTGATGAATGTTCAGAAACATCTGAATCATAGCCAACCAATTGGCTTACACTGGCAACGTTTGCCATAGTTAATCCAATAATAGCCAATATCTGTAGCACTGGGTTCTAGGCAAGGAGGTGTGAAGTACCTTAGACTGTAGTATATTGGCTAGTTAGCCAATTAGTCCTGTATATGTGCCAAGCTGTATATACTGTTTATAAAATCCACTACGAAAATGTCAAAAAATGTTGATCAAATATCTCTTTCAATATAAAATATTTTCGAAAATACGCATAATGTGCCCTTACAGATTGGCAAACAAACTCACCTGTATTATTTCACCATAGCGGACCATTTTGCCCATTTGGCGCTTTTGTTCAGTCCTATTATCATCGTGTTCTGCCTTCACTGCATTCTAAATATCAAATCACAAAATTAACTTCTACTTATGATAATTATCTATAGTATATGTATATGTCAAGGAATTTTTATACTTTATATTTTATACTTTATTTTTATATTTTTATAGTCCTAAAAGTAACTTTATGATAAAATGTATATATCTTTATATCAAAATGACCAATTCATATTTCTGCTTCATAACCAAACAAATAAAGTTGGTGTCATCGATTTTGTTTCTTTACTTAAAGCTAGAAAACTATTTTGATCCCCAATGTTAAAGAATGGGAGAGTAAGGAATTAAGAGACTGTTTATCTCAAAAACTGAGAAACTGGATTTTTAAATTTTTGCACACTGAAAACTTCAATAATTAAAGTTGTTAAAAGAAAATGAAAAGCATAGGTCACCTTTGCTTGGCCCAGCATAGCCTTTGTTTCCGTATTTCCTGGATTTTTTTCCGCTGCTTGCTTCCATTTTCTGTATTTCTTGTCAAGTTTATATCTGTTCTGTATGACAACTTGGAACACAATTGCTGAAAGAATTGATAAAATTCAAGTTAATGAAATTAACTTTTTCATATATTTTGCATATTAAGGGGTTTCACTACAATTGTCACAACAGGCAAAATGAATGGAAACAACAGGCAAAATTATGAGAAATTAAATAATTTTAACATGAAAAAAGTTGTAATATTCCTGAAAGCAAATGACAAGTTTGGGTAATTAGAGGAGAACATTGACTATATCCTGCATTAATGCAAATTCTGATATTAAAACTTTGCACTATGAATTTCTAAAGAAAGACCTACAGATCATTTAGACTTACCCTGCACATTTGCGAGACCAAGAGGGAGCTCTTTGCTCTGTCCATTGTAAACATATAGCGAGTTGTGAGCGGAGCTGAAATCATAAATATACAGTTATACCTGGCTGTGAGATTCTCCTACAGGAGAGAACGAGATTATGATGCAATAATGATGTGGCTGGAATGTTTATTTTTCTTTTACATGTTGTGCTAAGGAGCCCCACCTCCAAGTTGAGAAAATATTTTGGAAAACTATTGAATGATGTGATGAAACATGAACATGTATGACCTGTTTTGACAGTTAATTCTGAGTTAGAGAAACCACAAGTCTGTATGCCATTGGCATCTGCTGTGTTGCATCCTATAATGACTTATCTATATCTCATTACTCATTTATTTGGTGAAATTGCAAAATTATTTGACAGGGTGAGAAACTAATTAACCTGCGACTTTCAGCAACATTGTCAATCTGGGATACTAAAACTAAATGCTATGATCAGTCACACAGTGTTCAACTGTTGTATAAACAATACCTGGGGAATCACAATGTGGTCAATTTGAAATGTATTGTATATGCTCAATTTATGTATGATCAAAAAAAATATCTTGAATTCAAATTCATTAGAATAGTAGAGTTAAATATGAATAAGTTTCAATCTAAACATGTTCTACATACCTTTATGATTATGTTGATCAAGTTTCAAGATAATCTAGCCACCCTTCAGGTTGTTTATGCTCACTATTATTAGACAAATAATTCTCTCACATCTTAACCAAATTTTAACGTCTGCCAATGTGGGGTTTCTCATTCTAAATCATGGACTTTTAGGTAATCATTCAGAAACAAATCGTTAATCACTCAGTAACAATTCGAAATAAAAAATTCCAAGTTAATCATTCAGAAACAAATCTTTAATTATTCAGTAACTATTCAGATTATTAATCATTCAGAAACAATTCAGTTAATTATTCAGAAACTAATCAGACGTTGCTTTTAAATTCTTCAGGTTTTCTGATTAATTCCTGAAGGATTCAATAATCATTAGCTAATGATTATGAAATGATTTTTGTGTGGGTTACCATTATGTAGTCAAAAACACAATATGGAAAAAATATAAAAAGTTAAACTTTCTTATTAACGGGAAAACAGTTGCCATAGAAACAAGCTTTTGAATTAACTTCCAACCAAAGTTTAAAAGTGGATATGAACTTTTCAACCAGGGGGCACATTTGACAACTCTGGCCTAAAGTCCTCAGAATGATGAAAAACTGCATTATTTTGAAAGAATTTCCCCTGAACACCCCTGGCTACGGGCCTGCATGGTAACAGATATTGCCTAAAATACTGTAATGACCCTTGATAGCAAGTCGCTACTACAGTCTCGGCTGTAGTGGCTTGCCCCTTGTGGCTAGCCCCCTTAGCTAAACTGTAGAGCGTCAGTCTTGTAAGCAGAAGGTCCTGGGTTCAATTCCCACATGAGGCATTGAATTTAGCACAATACCTTTCAGGTCTATTGTCCAGCTTGTCAAAACTACAGCTCCCCATCCCCGGACGAGCATGCCTAGGGCCATTACAATACCAACAAAGTAATCAGTGACTATAAAGACAACTTAAGTTTCCAAGCCACTTTAACCAAGGCTGATATTTTGTCTATCTAGGCTATATCTCTTGAAATGAAAGCCTATGTCAAAGAGGGCCAATGGCAATGACTATCAACCATGGACCGCGAGGCCCTTAACCAGGGAGTTGGGGTTTCTGGTAAAAAAACTTTCAAAATCATGAAGTTCTTCACAATTCTGAGCAGTTTTCAAAAGATTTTGGGCCCAAGTTGTCAAATGTGACCCCCCCCCCCCTCCTTTGCAAAAGCTGGCTGTGTGAGCCTCTATCCCCGATCTTTACAGGAAGAAAGCAACATGATAATATATCACTTTGACAAAATCTAATTGATATATTAAAACAAACCAATTATTTATCGTTTAAACCTGCTGAAAACAAGGATATTCAAAATCAAATCAAAATATTTTTGAAATTTCGCAAACCTGTGCAAATCGAAAATCACTAGTGCGCATGCTCCAATTAACAGGGATCGATCAATATGTAAACTTATGATTCTTTAACCTTTTTTGAATTGGAGATAAAGTAACTGCAGACTTTCCTTTAGAACTGCTTGCTTGACACTGTAACTATTATAAAGTAGGCTTAACTGACCAGAGACATATAAAACATATATGTCTCTGGCTTAACTCAAGACAGGTATATTTTCACTTAAGGTGCCGCAGTTCTTAAAGGTGCAACAATTAGTGCAGATGGGCCATTCAACGATCATCGACCAGTGTCAAAATATATTTAAGTTTGGATATTTCATCAAGACTAACATATAGTTTTATTATCTACATCCATACATTTTAAGAAAATAGGTATTGTAACGACCATTGATAGCAAGTTGCTACTACAGTCCAGCTGGAGTGGCTTAAGCCTTTATAGCTCAGTCGGTAGAGCATCAGACTTCTGAGGGTCCAAGGGTTCTAGGTTCGAGGGCACGGGGCATTGAATTTAGCACACTTTCTTTCAATTTCTTTATCTGGCTTGTTACACTATGCTCGTTAAAGTCATTAGTTACATGTAGTCATTCCCCTGGGGCGCCCTCGGGTCATTACAGTATGTCAAAGAAGATGTTAGCCAAATATTGACCTGATAGCTCAGAAAAATTTTAAAAAAACTCGAATCTTCTCTCTACAGTCCTTAATTAACAGGAAATGACAAAACCATACTGGATTTCAAACATTTTTTGAACCAAGATAACAGAGTTCTATTTTGACCTCCAGTCAGTCTAACTTGTTCCACATATCATTTGTTTACATGATCAGAATGACCCTAAACATTATGAAATAACTTTTTTCAGCCCTCTGAAAATATGACTGAAAAACAGCTAAAAGTAGGAGCTTGGGAAGGGTCACTGAACAGAATCTTTTGAATTTTTCAGAAAATGTGCCCAATAAATTGCCCTTAATGATACCATGGGCTTTTAACCCCATGATGATATAATCTTTGAAATTTCAGAAAATAGTCTCAAACAAAAATGGCGGTCATAAAAAAAGAAAATAGATCGCTTTTCAATTCAGTTTTTTTTCATTTTTTCTTTTTCTATGAATGATATCAAATTTTCAAAGATTGTCCCCGTTTTGTCATTTCCTGTTAATTACCACGGCACCTTAAAAATACATCATGAAACTAGTCTTTCTCCGAGCCTTGCGAGACATACACCCGGTCTTGAATAAAGTGCAGTAATTTGGGAATGTCCCCGTGTGATATCCATTAATCATTTTGATGCAGAATCATCATAGAATGAGAAAATAGTTTTCTCGACTTATCATGACCATATATGCCTAAGTAACGAGGAGGGCAGAGGTGAATAAATGTGCATGAAATATTCGTTGGCTCGTTGGCTAACTGCCCGGCTAACTGATCCTAAAATACATCCAAACATTAAAATGAATAAAACTCATCAATATGGCAACCATTATCATATTACAACAAATAAAGAGACGCTTACATGTTTTCAAATCCATTCACTCTTATTTGATCTAAAATCATGTGCATAAGAAATTTCCGTGTCTAAATATGGAAAGGGAATGTAAAACGAACCGCAGTTGGTAATAAGAGTCAATGGATAAAAATGTGATCTTTAAATTATTAGAAAATATGAATCAGGAGTATGGGAATAGTTGGAGCTTTTAACGTCCGCCCCCAAATCGACACCAGTTTGTATACAACAGACTGGCTTGACTTTTAACCCAAATTCATTAAAACATCAGAATCGACCCCCCCCCCCCCCTACACACACACAAACACATTTTTCATGTTTTTCAACTAGAAAGGAACGCTATCCAGAATACCATGATTTCTCATGCTCCCCCGGGTGCTCCCCCCTCCCCCTCCCCCCTCCCTCATGATGGTCTGTTACGCGAACGATAACTTTGGTATTGTCACAAATAGGCTATAGCAGAAAAACCTTGGCATCTGTTACGTTTGGCACGAAAAAGGAAATCAAAAACTTTTGAAAAACTTATTTTAGCATTTCAAAGCAATGTAGTCTCTTGATATGAAGCTCATGGTATGTCACACAAAACAGATATTCTAAAAAACATCTAAACGTTCAAAGGTGCTGGAGTGTCAAATAACAACACATGTTGTTAAATTCCCCTAATTCCCAATGTACTCCCGCGGAAGTGTGTTAATACACGGTGGTTTTTGTTTATGTATAAACTTATTTTTTCTGAATGTATGTTTATAGCGAAAAGTATGGATTATATGCCCGGGATTAAATGGAACCTTAGAGACACACGGGGTGGGCCTCTTTATTTCAACGCTTTATAGATTCATCCAAGGTTTAACAAAGTGTTTTTTTAATTTTATATCCTTACAGACGTGCACATTCAATAGTTTTCAAAGTTAGTTCAAAACTAAAGAGAACTTTTAAATAAGTTTACTTCTGACTGAATTAAAATACCCTTTATACCTAGATTGCAAGCTGTATGCATATCCCTCGGTCTCTTCACAGTAGAGACATATGTAGTCTCCAAAACACAAGAAATCACTCATTTTTACAGCTATCTATCTAATCGATGTATATTCCAAATGATAAAAATCATCATTTATTCATGATCATCATCTGCCGTCATTATATCATCATCATTTTTACTTCTTCATAACATATTTTAAGTTGTGATGTAAACTCCTACTTCCAGAACTTTTTGTAAGTTGAAACTGCTGCTTTTGATAATATATCCGTTGAATGTAAGGCCTTGTTTGTGAGCTGGATTTCCCTTCAGCTTTTCAAAACAGTTTTCCGATGAATGCCTTATTATACATTCACTTACTCTTTCTCGAATGAGCCCGAATGCACCTCTAAAATACTTTACAACATAAAAGTATACACGTTTTAATACGTCGTGTTCAGTCCAGTGGTTTGCATGTTCCTATTGGCTTTATACAGAGATTTATAGTGAGCATTACAATGAATTCAAATGTATTCACTATGTCCTTAGTTCGTTTCAATGTACATCGTATATGTTAAAAACACTTTTGTCACAGTTGGATTGCTTACAAATAAAAAACAAAATAGTCGGTCTTTAATCCTTTCAGCTGAGTACTGCTGCGCCAAATAACTAGATACCCCGTACACTCTAATTCAGCAAACTGTTGTTACCTTACCAGTGATGAGGTTTCCGCGAAACTTTAATTAATGCTGTTTTTATCAGAATTTATAGTCCTTGAAAACGCTTCAAATGCATCAAATATATGCATCACCCCTCCACCATGTAACTAATACAAAAAGAACCATGGATAGAAGAGGACGAAAAGAGCCTAAAATCTATTGCTCGATTGTGCTAGTCGTCCTAATTATGTCCAAACTTATCATTTATACCACGGGGGTCAGTGACAATCATATGCGGTAAAAAGCATGGGGTAATTACTAAGTGGGTAATTAAAACACAAATCACATTTAAACTCATGATAAAGCTAATCAATGATGCAACTTTATATTGCAAGACAATCAGTCGTGGATCCGACCCACTGAGCCATTATGCCCTCTGATCAAGCTAAGGTACTTATTCTTTGTCTGACTGTGGCCAATCAACTGATTATTAAGGTAATGGGGGTGTCGATACTGGAGTACGCAACAAGGAAACGGAAAAATAATTTTTCTTCAATCATGTTACATGAGACAAAAATGCAGGAACAAAGTTGAGTCATTCCGTATTTTATGTTTTTGGGCAAATTAGAAGATAAACCACACACCTTGTTAAGATAAAGAAAATGTGAAAATAAATCTTCCAATCTTTTTAATTTCCTTCTCAGTCACCCCAACGAACAATCAAAAATACATAAGCATTTAACATGTTCTAGCCCCTCCTCTACAAATTCCACAACAATAGTACAGGAACTTAGAAACTGTATTCAAGACTAAAACAACATGTTTGTTTATATCCAATAGTTTGTGGTGCTATATAGATGCCACCTTTTTATGGTCTCTGGTGTTTGTATCCACTTTGTGCTCTCACATGTGTGGTTTACACTGTTGTTTTGTAATTTATTTTTTGTTGTTTTTATTTTACTTAAAATCCTTATTTAATTTAACTAATCTATAATTATTCAAATATCAGCGAGTAAAATGGAAATGCAGTGGATGTGCGTTAGTTTTTATCATTTAAGTTCAATGTATGCTATTTCAAGAAAATGATGCTTTGGTGTGGAAAACGTTATTCTCGTTCATAGTGTGTAGGATCTTCATCCAAGATACTGTACACCAGATAAGTTGTTTTTAGTAATCTATGTTTGTTGTCGTAGTTTTATTGCTTTGCTTTGTTTTTTATGATATTTACCCCAAATTGCTAAATGCTGTTATTGTGTAGTTGTTTTCTGCTCACTGATGTGTCAAGGGACAGTTAAGGAGTTTGCCCCTGTAATTTATAAATGAACTGATTTAAGTTTAAGGTAACTTTCTTCTATACCCGCGACGTTAATTAACCCGAATCAGCCACATCTGAATATTTGAACACTTTTTTGCACAGATCACATTGTCTGAATGAACTGGCCAAGTTTTGTAACTTATTATAGGTGCCATTGGCGCAGATTAAAACAGGTCTGACCTTAAAACAGGTAATGCAAAAAGCCAGAGATGACAGTCATATCGTTTTATTTGAAAAAACGAATTAACCTCACTTGCCTCAACCTGGCTTTTTTCAGAATGATCTACTTTTTTTATTTTTTATAGTCAGGTTCTTTACTAAAGATAGCATACATAATTCACACCAGATCAGATATTTTTATTTTGGATTACCAAACAAGTAATTTCAACAGACATGTCATATTTGAGATAAATATTGGTCTTTTATTTAAGTTAACATTTAATTTCATAATACAACTAGTCCAAATATTTTGGGCAACAAAATTACGAAAACATTCAAGCCCTAATACATATACGTTTAGACAAAAATCACTTAAATATTCTGCATTACCACCAGAGTGTTATTTTTGAATGAATTCATATATTTTTGAATATCTTCATATTAAAGGGACTAGAAGGGACAGAGGAAAATTGAGTACAAGTTTGGGAAATGTTTTATTAGTTTTACAATTTTTTAGCTGTCATCATTCCATGTCATGCATTCTTTCCAAAAATTTTCTCAACTGTTCAGTTCAATATTAAAGTGTTCTGGAAAAAATGAAAAAAGACATATTCTCTTTTTAAATACGAATTTGGACATTTCTGCATCTTAATCTTCAATAACTTTACGATTCAAAGGAAAACAGTGGTACGATTCCTGAAGATTCCTTTCATGATTTTATACCCTCAGTCCCTTTTAATTCCTTTAAAACAAACAATATTGTCACTAAAAAACTTGTTCACTCTTTTTCATCTAAATGCTTGTACTGTGTAGGTACGGTAGGTGTATAAATGAGAGATCTAGTTTCACAAGCTTATGACAACCATTTCAAAAGTTGGGTATAGATACAGGTTTTCTATGGTACAGGTGGTCCATTTTTTATAACAACATGAAAGTTGCAATTCACTTCAAACAGACATCCATATGCATATCAATAATATAAATGCCTCCATATTAAAACAATAATAAATATGGCTAGAAAATTTACCAATACCGCAATATAAAACCTAAGATTTAAAGAATGCAGAACAAACATGTGCATTGTAATACATCATAATAATAACACATCATAATTACAAATACAACAGACTTGAAGAAATACAATTGTTTTACATTAAGTCCTAGACTCCCCCATCTTTCACCAAAGGATGTGAGGTACAGTATATAGGGAGAAGGGGTCACAAGGACTTGTTGCAAGACTATACACATATAAACTTCAGTTCCATGGATTTTAATTATTATTCTCCAAGAAGCACCCGACTGATTGGAAAATTGCAAAAATACACCTGTTAATCTTAAAATTAGTTCAGAGCAGTTCTCATTGTGTCCTTCTTGAACAGAATGCTCACTTGGTAAGAATACTTTGTTATTCATAACTTGTTACACCTTCTTAATGTTTACTTGTAAGATAACATGGTAATTGAATTCACTAAACACACAATCTGCTGCTAAGAGAATTTACCATAGGAGCTTTAATCCCCCAATTAATCCTCAAATGGTCACTAAAATAAAATACTGAACTCTAAACTGATGAACATTTACAGTGCACATTAAAACCTATTTATTTGAACACCTCAAGGGTTGGCTTAGCCTTCACATTGACGAGATGTATCACTAGGAAAACATAGAAATCAATAGGATAGTACTATACAAACAAGGTATAAACATGACTGAGTGTTACCACCTGCAAATAGTTACAGAAATGTAACAATTTGTCACAGATTATGTGACAACAGTCACAAACAATGGTGGCTTCAACAATATGGCACCAGTTCTTGGCATATTTCAAGGCTTTACCTTCAGAGAAGCGTTCACATAAACAAGTTTTAATGTTAAGTCTCATCAAAATGTAAGCTAATATATTGTGCGTGGTTTACAATCATGGAGACTTCTACGACTATGTGCATTTCAAGAATGTTTACTTGTTCCATTTGAAATTTAAAATATACATCAAATATGTCATCAAACTATAACAAATCCCTGGATGGCTCACTTTGAGGGTGAAAGTGTAAACTCTGAAACTATCACACATGGAGTAATTTAGGAAGTTGCTTGTTTTCAATTTATTTCTTCATTCAAATTGCTGGAGAGAGGCAGCCATGTTAATTTACAAACATGTAGAGATAATTCTTATATTTCCTGCTTTTCAAATGGTGGATTTAATTCTACAGATCAATCCCATCTATATGCAGATCCACATGGAAACACTGTCCTTTTTCCATGTGGATCTACCTTCCTGAAATCCATGAGGATTCCACTTGGATATGTGGATTGGCTTTGTAGATTTAAACAGATAATTGTTGTTTTCTCGATGTCTAATTTGTAATTTTACTCCATCACCAAACTAAAAACTATTAAAGGCCCCATGTTAAGTTTGAAAATATGTTTTTATCATTAATAACTTTATATGGGACCTTAAAAGCTTTAAAGTCATCCAATATTCCGTACCTGATTGAGGCGGATTACCTCCTAAATAAACAATGTGCACTAAAACCAAACTCAAACTATACATAAAATACATAAATAAATGTACTTGTACATAAATAATATTTACATATTCTTCAACATGTACTAAGGCATTTATGCGTTTTATTACATTCATTGGCAAAATTATGAATAAGAAAACAAAAGCAATGGCGCTGCACCATACAATTTGAGATAAGAACTTTCACTGCAATTCTGAATATTTGTACCAGTTATGTTGTATTTTTATGCTGAAGGCCATTACTTGAAAATATTGTGAATGTGATTACTAAAATGGTTAAAATATGAAAGACAATTGATTTTCTAGAATCCTTATTAACATTATTTTCAAGAAACAATATTGAATTACAGAACATAAAATCGAACATGACTGTATTCACGCCTTCTATAAACTGTAAACAAAGTCAACATTTCACCCGGGGTATATTCTCGAACACTGCCCCAGGTAATACTTGTAATGTGTGACGTCATAATGGGGGACCCTAGTAATGGCAGACCATAATGAATATTCGAAACATTTTGGTGAGGAAATCGAACACTTCACTCCCTTCCATCGTTCAGGGTACAGAAAACGTTTATGTCTAGCCCTGTATTCGACAATATTACCCCTGCTCTTCGGTCTATATTTCTTAAATATAATACAATTGAGGTACAGGTACATTGAAGTCCTATGTGCAGGATTTCAAGTTCTAAAACAAAGCATAAAATGCAGTAAACCATTGCTTGTTTCTTGCATTGATACTTGCAAATAAAAAATCAAAGATACGTAAATCATTCATAGAGTTTAATAATACAAACTATACACAGCGAATTATTTGTATTATCCTTGGTAAGATTTGTTCTAATGTGACACATCACAAGGTGACAAATCCTGTAAACCAAAGAAAAATACAATAACCCATCTAAATGCATGGATATCTGGGATTGTTTGTTTCACAGGCAGACATTTCTCAAAAATATCACATATCATAAATTGATTTTGTTAAGCGCCAATTGTGCTTTATTCAACAATGATATCTCAATAGATACATTGTAGACAAAAATATGATATCCTTTCTAGTATGTGATTTGTGATATTTTCATGAAACTAACCCCTGTATACTAAGAGGATGTACTCAACACTACAGTAAAAATACAATAAACTCATGAGAAGTGTGATTTACCTATTAAATTCATTTTGATTTTTGCTAACCCTGACACAAGTCACCACATATCACATAATATGTAGAAATAGGATTTTAAAATATTATTCTTATAATAATAACAGTAAGCTTTAAAACCAGTAACATGTAGGAAAATCTATATGCAATTCTTGAATAATTGGTGCTGAAAGAGGAGTGAGTGCCAAGAGTACCACATAAGACTTTCTATATGGTCCCTCCCAAAAAATCAAAACAGATCAGTGCCATCTGGTTGGGAAATTAAATGTAAGGGAAGGGTGTAACAGAGACTTGGTTCTGGTCTCAATGAAAAAGGTCCTAATAGCAGCACACTTCTTGGATCCTAACTAGCAGCAATATCCCAAGAGTAAGTTATGCCCAAATAGGGGTTAAAATTAACAATGTCATTTTCAACTCTTCCAATATTTACATCAATTGAGTTGCATTTTTGTGTTTAAGGGACCAGGTCATAATTTCAATGTAACCCAAAAATATAATTTATTTCATTTCAGATTGAGCAAAAATATTTTCAAATTAAAAATCAAAGTAGACCAATGAATATAAGTGGATTTGAAAACTCCATCCCAAAATGTAATTTGTGGGCTAACAAAGATATAATGACATTGTCCCTTATATGATCATCTAGCTATTTCAGAGACTTCAAAGACATTACTTCTTGTCCGTGAGTCTATGGATACCTTCACTATATGTACAACTAAATATTTTCCTGGATATGTCCTATGAATGGATGGTTTCTACGATGTGTTAAAAAGATCTTTAATATCAGCTAGAGCTTTTGTTATTGTACGTCCAAACCTCCTTGCATCCTGTAAAATACATACAGTATTAAAAAAATATGGTACACACTGTAAACCTGCATAGTATAAATGCGGCAGTTCGCTTGTCACTGGTAGAAAGTCATTAATCACACATCTGGTGTTCTTGCACATGCGTAGTGGTAATAAAATCTGTCTTAGAAAATATGGCTGTGGTGTTTGAAGGCTATGTCATGTTGTCTGGTAAGCTTAAAATCTATGATTTCTACCGACATTTCTCTGTCTAAACTTATTACCTTATTATCTTATGATATTAAAGACTTGCTGAATCATATTTATTTGGTCATTATGTCACTATTTTAAAGGTATCAGTTAATATGAAATATATATTTTTTGCATTTTTGAGTGTACTTTTCCATCATATTTTCTATATTTTCCTACTTTTTTACTTCAGAACTTTTTTCACAGTGAGAAACAATGGGGTATTATGAAACAATATCACTTCAAGAAAAGTGTACATTATTTTGTTTAAAGTAGATATTGGCATTTTAATTGAGTAGGTGTTGGCCAAAATTGATATTTTTAACATTGGTTTGAATAGGCAACTTTGAGCTGTTGCTCGCAGAAAACAAGTGATATATCAAAGGAAGAAAATAATGTAGAAAATTGATTTATATGAGCAGAAAGAGGAGACTTTAAAGTACAAAACCATCAAAAAAATATATGATTCAAAAAGTAGAATCAATTAGAAAAGTGACTTTTCATGCAAATGTGTACTAAAATTAAAATTTTATTTATGTACTAGTGTTCCATTTACAAAAAATAGATACAATGGAATGTGTTAGAATTCGGTTAATTATGATTGGAATTTGTAAACTTTTTTTACATCTATGAATTACTAATTGATCATTCTTTTTAGTTATTGCAAAAGTTATAGTTTCTAAGTAAGTTTAAACGAGTGATAACATGAAAAGAGATTGCGGTTTAATTAACCAAAAGTGGCTACAGCATTAACTTTCTACAGTGGAAGACTGTTTGACCTACTAGTAAACACAGCTAAGAACTGGATATAAGGCTAATTAATCAAAACAAGCTTGACAAGCGAACTGCCAGCTTAGGTTTACAGTGTACAAGTATCATAATATGTACAGTAAATATCAGAATATGTACAGTATATACCATAATATATACAGTAAGATCCATAATATATACGATAAATAAGATAATATACAAAATGAAATATTAAAATATGTACATTATAGTTTTTGACCTCTCCCCAGGTTGACTGCTAAAGTTATCGGAGAGTTTAAGCTTGCAATGTTTTTCACAAAGCAACCGTGAATGGACAGCACATGAATCAATATAGCAATGCAATGTATGTCATGCATGTTTTAGCTTCGACTATCTTACCAAACGAGCTTGATTAAAATATGTATCAGAAAACTAGCTATAGAACTACCAATGGCATGTTACATGCTGCATATCATATACAGCAGTATAGTCTCAACTAACACTGAAGCTCAATGCTTATATAAGTGAGGAGGCTACATGTATTTATTTATAGGCAATTTATACATATACATTGCCTTTTCGATTTTATATACTCGCTAAAACTCTCCATTATTTAACACTGTAAACTATAAACAAACCAAGTCAAAGCTATTGACTGCCCATTGACCTAAAATCATGTATTTAGATATTGAGGTCGTCATAGTCCACCCGCAATGGCTCAGTGGCAGAGTCAATGGTTACCAATATCGCTTGGCCCCAGGTTCGATTCCCGGTTCAGACAAGTTTGTTTGTGCGTTATGTAATTCTGGGTGTTTGACTGAGTGGTGTACAACTCATATAAAAGGCTGTGGTGTGTACTTGTATGTCTATGTACTGGTGCACACAAAAGAACACAGGGCTCCTCCAAGGAGGGGTTTCTGGCTCTATCTTCGAGTGTAAAATATGTAAATACGGAATATACCAATGAGGTATTGCTCGCCAAATATGGCGGTAACCAAGATATAATAATAATAATATGATATCAACTTACTGTTGTTGTACATGAATTCTTGCAAGATATATGGAAGAACAGGCAATCTTCTCCTGCTATTATGTATGAGACACCATAGCCATCATCAGCCACCTGAATTAAAATATGCTCACAATTATGTATGAGACACCATATCCATCATCAGCCACCTGAATTAAAATATGCTCACAATTATGTATGAGACACCATAGCCATCATCAGCCACCTGAATTAAAACATACTCACTTTATGCATTTAGCTTTGAGGCTATTAAATTTGCTTTGATTAGATTTTTAGATTGGCTATGAGAGAGTACAGTGCCACATAATGGTGTTAACAAAATTATTGTGTATGAATGAAAATGGTATGTATTGAATGGTGAAAATTATATTAATAGTCAAGCAACAAATCTGGGTTTGATCAACATTAAATGTAAAACTGTTCATCAAAAAACAATATCAATTATTAAAGGAAGTATCAATTAAACTGCAATACTCACTGGTCCAAATCCACCTCCTGCTGAGATGAGCTCTGGGTTCTTTGCCAAGTCTAGTTGGTCTGTTTGTTGATGTGGAGTCTGAAATGTGCAATCAAAGATAATTATTAATATACTTAACTGTAGTACCAGGGGTTCCATTAATAACATGTGATATTTTGGAGTTGTTCTTTTCAAATCCCTGTTTGTAAGGGTGTGCAATGGTTTCCATATGAAATAATTATTTCCAATAATTTTGTTCGTTGTTTATTTACCTTGAGTAGGGAATAAAGTTACATTTAAACTTTAAATGTCAGTTTTGGCATTCTCCAAATGCAGGGCTTCATTACTCAAATATGATATTCAGTGCTCTGTTTTGAGAATCATTTAAACTTACAATTTGTCTTTTGATCTAAGATTAGACTATTGATTTCTAAAGAGTTGAAAGTTACAATTGTACTAAAAAAGGATCTTGTAGCCCTTTGGTCCATGGGTGGATTCTTGGGGACTAGGTATATAAGGTACATTGGATCAATATTGAGATGTACATTTACTATGGGACACCATCATGCAACTCACAATGCAACAAACCTTTGCATTTTAGTTCTTTTAATCATTTAGCAACTAGGCCTATCAAACAGAAAACTTGGCATGAAACTGAAACATTTCACTCAACAGAACTCACTTTAGAATCATGTTGAGTACCCTTCCAGAACATCTAAATTAAATTGTACAGCAAAAGTTGTTGGTTGTTTAAAAATCTATGTGTGTTTTCAGATTTGTAGCTTTAATTATGCAACATTTTCTTAAAATTCAATTGCGAACTTATCATCCTGCTTATTGAGTGAGCAATATTTTTCAAGCTACGATATTCAAATGAGTTCTTAAATCACCATTTGAGGGCAAATCGTGGCTCCATTGTAGTCACACGTGAATTGATTGAAGGCATTTAGCAGCATCAACACAAATTCTTTACAATCATGCTAAATGTGAACTCTACTGTGTGTTTTAATCACTTCAACATGATCATGAAATACATCAAAAATCGTCAATATAAATGAGTGAGAAGGAGTCCTAATACAGACCCCTTAGACACTTACCTGACTGGTTGATAGCCTCCAAGGCTCACTCAATACTTCCTTGAGGAATGGCGATTCAATCCCAAGGTATTTAGAAACAACATACAAGCAGAATAGATGGCGATCAATGCCTCTACCAGTCATGGCATTTCTATAGCCCTTCTGATGGATCTCTGTAGCTTCACGGAACAATGCGATCCTTTCAGATGTCTGGAACATATGAAGATGTATAACAGTTATTCACACAAGGCTAGGCATGCATTGTCACATTCCAGCCAATCAGAAACAGCATATAGACATGCTATATCAGATAACCAAGCACGAGTTTTATTTGTTTTAGAAAATACTTTTAAATATTGCCACATAAAGTTGTTCTGAAATGACTGAAATTGAATATTAGCTTACTGTTTTAGATTTATCCTCCATTGCCTTAACAAAGTTGGTTGACTCTACGGTACATGAGCGAACAGTTTCTGTACGTCCTCCACGGAAGAGACGCGTCATGGCTGCCTCGTATGTCAAACACACACGCCCTGCATCCTAAAATAGATTAATAATTCATATAGATTATGATTACATCTGTGAAGATAACAGCTCATCTTCCCAAAAACAAGTAAACTGATGAAACTAGATAAAATAGAAACAGAAGTATTACCAACAGAAATGGAAACAAACAACCAATGATGACATTGTACAAAACAATCAAAAAGCACAAAATTATGAGACACTTCAAACTACAACAAGAACAAGGTATTAACATGCAAAATGTCACCACATGTCATTAATTAGTTGTTACAGACACCAAACATGGAACACAAACCAGTGAATGCCAAACACCAATCATGAAACACCAACCAACAAATGCCAAACACCAACCACCAACCAATTTGGAGACTATAACAATATGCACATAATAATAACAAATTAGTAGGCTAATGTTTTGAAAGTGCTTACTCTGTAGTAAGCCAACTGTAGTGCCATCTGTATGAAGGCATCTGGACTAGTTTTACACTTCTTCATGAGTCCCTTCCCATAAGCATCATGCATCATCAGGTGGAGGTCTACATCATTTAGCAGTTTCTCTGCTACATCTAAGCTGTTATGGATCACCTCAATACACTGAAATAACAAAAATTGTACATTAATTGATGATTTTCTCAGACTATGCAAAGATGCATAGAATAGAATAATAAAAACATTCACTTTTAGAAACAGTAAAGACAACTTCACCCAGTTCATTTTGTCAATATACTACTATAATAGAGAGATGTGCATAGCCGTAGGCAGCGGGGGTTCGGTGGGTTCGAACGAACCCCCGGTCAGGATTTCCCAAAATATCATTTTGGTGAAAGTAACCAGAAACATTAAATTACTGTGCTATTTGAAAACTACATATATGAGCAGTAAATGAATTGATATTTGTTATGGTGAACACGAGAGCCTTATTTTGTTAAAAACATGTCATAGTGAAGTTACACTTCCCTCAAAACGTTTGGCAACCTTAGACACGGGGTGAGATTCAATTTTGGGAAGACCCCAGAGCATGAGATTTTACATTAGAAATAACAATAATTTCGCACAATTAACTTAAAAGTTGCTTCTTCTCGACAAAATAACCCATCTTGGGCAATGGCTAAATCAGTCCTTTGTAGGAATTTTGTTTTAAGCCAGTTCTGGTCCAATACGAGGATATTGAAACTAGTTATTGAAAACAATGCAGACGTCCCATACTCCGAATGATTTTTACAACATTGACGAATAATTATCTGGAAAAGTCGTAATATTGATGAAACACATGTTCTTTCAAATGTGTACATCACTGTTTTGTTTTATTTCAATTGAAATTTAAAATATTTCTTGGGACGTCCCTGGGGCTGGCGTAGTCCCCGAAACCAATTCGTTAAATAATTAAAAACGTTGTGAAATTAATTATTTAAAAGCGTATATCATTTATAAACGCAAGCATTTGTTCAAATTTATTCATTCTTTCAATTGTTCAGTATTTATTTACCCATCACCTTCGATTCCAAAGAAAAATCAATCTTTGCAAAAAATGATTTTGTGTTTTCAGATACACTCCACTCATCTAAGAGATTGTATAGAATTCAAATTGTTATCGTTCCAGTTTACTTGCTCTCCGTTTTCATGTTAATGTCATGATATGTTTAGCAAATAAATTACATAATAAAAAACATTGAAAATCATATGGTATTAATCTTCAAATAATGAAAGCGTTATTTGTTATCAAGCCGTCTGAACTTAACAAAATACGTATTTATATTCGAACAGTCGCTTGTATTTATATATGATTTATATCCACCAAAACGTTTTTATTATCAGTCATATATCAGTTATATTGTCAGGACGTCCAAAGCAATATTTTTAACTTTTTAAAACAAAGCATAACCGAGACCCACTTATTTGAATAATAGATATTTTCATCAGTAATACGACTATCCCGGATAGTTTAAAAAGCCTTCGTATAAACGTTGTGAAAAGTTATCATAGAAGAACGACCTTTCCGAGTACAGGGTGTTTGCGCCAATTTCAATAACCTTGCATTTGATCCGAACTGGCTTCCAACAAAATTCCTGAAAAATAATGACAAGCCATTGCATGAGGTGATATATTTTGTCCTAGATGAAGTAGCTTATAAAGAATAAATTGTGCGAAATAGTTGATATTCCTTGGAAACAAATCATGCTCCAGGATCTTTTAGAAGTCAGACGAAATAATGCTGGATTCGGGGCAAATCAGATTTCAGGATATCTATTCAGTAAAAGATTCACCGAAATATATTTTGATGCAGAAAATTAATTGTAATAAGTTGTCTGAGTTTTTTGAACGTTGCCTAAAGTGAACATTTAAGTTAGAAAGCTACAAGGTCATTTTTGAAAATCGTTTTTACGTCCTGTGTTATTTCAATGGGAGAGGTTTCTTAATAAAGCCTATTACTTTCCGACTTTGCTTAACGTAAATAAAGACATCATATTTGTTAAATAAAATTCAAATTCAATTGTCTACTTAATTCAATGAAGGTATTAATATGAATTATATTTCCCCTCCTTTTCTATTTACAAATTATGCATATAAAATTGAAACTTAAAGATGCAATTAATACATACTCCAATGGGTTAGTTAGGATTGCCAAACTTTTGGAGGGAGTGTAATTGTACAAATTGCATTATTTGAGGAACCCTAATAAGGGGGGGGATTTGTGAATAACATAAAAATAGAACCCCCGGTCACCAAATCCTGGCTACGCCACTGATGTGTGTATGTTGTTTTTAATGTTGGGAATGTAGAATTGTGTACTTTGTCTTCATTTTTCATATTGGATAATGAAGACACAAAAACACATGTGGTTACCTCAGGTGAAAGATCCCACTGTAGTCTGATTGGATTGGGAGGTACCATCTCTGGTTCACCTTTACAGTGGCCATCCTCACGGTATCTGCAATTCAAAATACCACATTTAATATTCAGGTTAAATCAATTTTATATCAAAATGCAACTCCTATGAAAATTACATGTATTACTAAGAATTTTATTCTCAATTTAGATTACGAAAAAACAATATCCCAATTACAACATTCCAAAAGTAATTTGAGCATCTTAACCTATTATATTGCTTTAAAACAGTATATGAAATACATTATATTATGATCATGATTAAAATAAAATATATATAAAACAAACTTAAAGACTCAGTATTCATCTATAAACAAATTACAATACTTATTTTACAGAACTAATTTACAATAGTCAGTATCAGAAGGTTACAGTTGTTGCATTTTCTTTCAAAATGCCAAGTAATGATATCAGATTTCATTGAGTTAAACTACTTTACCATGAACATACAGCTGTTATTGACCTGATAAACTCCACAATCTTAAAGTGCCTATATTGTGTGTAAATGCCATGATCTAACAATATTATATTCTACCACTTGGGGTATGAACGGCTAATGAAGAATTCAGGTTACCATTTCCATCAGTAGTAGATATCATTGGATTGTGGCATCCATGTGTGGTGATATGAAAACAATTTAGTTGCAGAGTTTCTATGTCTTAAAGCTAAGTGTAGTTGAAATATCAAAGTCAAATGTCCATGGCAATGTGGTTTAATTTGATGGAAACTAAAAATATAGAGACCAGGATTTACCAGCCCCCATTTTGAAAGAGAATGTAACACCTGTTACTTTCTCTGATACTGACCAGTAATTTAAAATATAAACTGCAAGAAAAAGACTTAATTTCATGCAAAATATGAAGGAAAAATTACAGGATTGGATACTAGTATTGGGGAGTTAAAAACTGAATGCGATTAGCATATAATTCAATACTAGAGGATGAAAACTTGCAATACAAAAGTGAGAGCAGAAAATGTGAGTTGACTGATCTGTGATTCCACTTGTTCCTGATGAGTGCAGAAAAATGTATCAGTCAAAGACTTTATTAATTCAACTGCATTGATACAAATTCACACTGCACGTCTATTATACAAATCTATTTCGGAACATGTGACTAGGTATTGACCAATCAGGATAAGTGTTACATATTAGGTATATAATAAACACAACTGTAGCATGGGGATCGGAGTGTCACAATGAATAAATGAAGAGAAACAATAATACAATGACATGAAGGTACACTCACTTAAAGATCAACTTGTTTAATGGCATCATCCATACAATGCATTTTTGATATACTGTAATACAAGGTGTCCATAAAGTTCCTACAATTATAATACAGTCAGTGTAAAGAGACTAATAGACACCCTGTATAATATCTTATTGAATGGTGAATACAACGCAGAACTAAGTTGCATACTACTGAGGGTCACATCTACCATTGTGTTTCAAATTTCAACAAAGCTGACTAAAACAACTGGCTTCACGATTAGTTGTCCTCAGATTTCGAAAAAGCGTAGGTGCCATACACAACAATGATATGATGGAAGTCTGGAGAAATAAATATAAGTAAACATAAATACCCGTATCTGTCTTTTATGGTAAGAAACTCCCATGTTTGCGCCATTATTGGAGCATCAGCCCTGAATTCAGCAGAATATCCACTCAGTGCAATTATAGCCAAGGATAAGGATTAAGGGGGTGCTATTGTTAAGAGGTTCTATTGTTAAGATAGAATTTATCCTCCTTAATTACTTAGAGGGATCAGTCATTTAAATATGGAAAGCTTATGTTTAACAAGATTCTCAGTGGGATTAATTAATTAATGGTTTTAGTAAGCACACAAAAAGCTTAAATTATTCCAACTGTGGGTAATTGTATGTCATCATTCTACATTCTACAACTATTTTTCCAAACTTTGACCATCAAAACAATGGAAAAAATGACCAAGACAAAATGTAAAAATGTAATTAGGTCCCTTTGTATACGTAGAGGAGATAAATTCAATTTTCATCATCGTGACAAGAAAAAGAAAATCTAAAAAATAATCGACATTTCAATTTTCACTAACCTGGAATCAACTATATACCAGTCAATACAGAAGAGTAGCTAGATTTGAAAAATACAGACATTAAATTACCCGAATTAATCATTTGATGTCAATTAGAGTGAAGCAAACAATGCGGGGGGAGGGGGGGGGTTAAGCTGGGTTAATAACTATAGCTACTAATCTATTAGTTTTTATCATTGTACAGCAAAACTTGTGAATATGAATGAATGGCTCAAAATGTAAAGTTTAATATTCCTGTTGCATATGCTATAAGATACTCTAAATATGAACATCTTTCATCATCAATGTTAAAGATAGTCCCAGCAGTGTTAATTCAAACAGGTTTTGCTGTACCATGATTTGATGGGCCTACATGCTAATTGTAATTGCCAAGTTGTATAGTTACTTGTAGGGGAAATTGAGGTTTATGTGCTCTCTCCCACAACTGCATATATGGAGATAAAATAGAATGGGGGAGGGGGGATGTAGGGAACAGATGTGGTGGTTCCATTTCAGATGTTCCTATCCTCTCCAGAGCTTAGAGTTTAGAGAGGAGGGTCGGGGGACTGAGAGAGTAAAAGGATCCAAAGCCAATGTGTTACATTGTTGTATCCGAGATAAAAGCTTGCATATTTATGTTCCATAACAACCTTGAAAAGATCAAAATGTGCAAATTTTCACCTTTGACATAACTTTAAAGTAATATAGAATGATTAACAAGGAAAACATACATACATATATTATTTTCAAGGGTTTTAATATGTAAATGTAATCATTCTATATTCTTTCAGCAAATGATATGTAGGGAATTCAATTGAACATTTAGGGTAAAAGCTGTCTAAGCGATGGCCTATTTGTATTGTATTGTATCTTGGTTACCCCACATTTGGCAAGCAATTGTACAATATCCTATGAAATCAAAACATGAATTTGAATCTGAAATCTGTAAATGAGAGATTAACAAGAGTTTTACAATGGAATTCCCCGACCATCGTCATGGTTACGAGACAACAACAATGTTAATATTAATGATATGACAACACCTCACAACATCTATAACTGACCCTAGTCGAAGAACATCATTGTCACACGAGAACTCCCAAAGGTGTGCCATAATAGGTGCGTCAGCCCTGAAACATCAAAATGACGGCAAATATTTGATAAGTGGTACTCTCGAAATCAATCTTTAAGTATCAAACATCTTGATCATTGTCAATTTTCAGGCTCAACCCTCTACTGAATTCATCAAAAATATCCATTTTTTTATTTTCTAGTTATGTACATTTCTTTAATACAAGTACAGTTACATATAAGTTGAGTTACACATTAAAAGCTGCTGCATTCACATAACAAATAAGCTCCAACACCACGACACAGCTTTTTAGTTTTATAGCAAAAAGCGAAACGGGCGAAACTTAGATTATAATACATAAAGGACTTAGCAATAAAGCTCATTCATAATGCAATAACAAGGCATATTCAGGTACTTTTATAATGTGAATATGACTAAAACAACAACAACAACAACTAAAACTTTACTCAGATTTTATTTATGCATGTCTTTACATTGATAAACTACTACTGTATGACATTTTAACTGTGAACTGAGCATCTATTATTACTAGCAAATTCTTGAAGATTTTCATTTGAGTAACTTAAATTTGACTTACCAAGAGTGTTCTGCATTGAAGCCAATCTGAAACATACAGTGTACATGAAATACGTGTACATGAAATATGTGTACATGAAATATGTCTACATGAAATTACTGAGCATTAAATTAGACTTTTTATCAGAGTTTGACTAAATGTACTGAGCAGAAACAGAATTGCCATGCTTTTCTGACTGTATGTTCTTATTGGATATCTAGCTATATCTAATTCAAATCTCTTGCAAATGATAATAACCCTACTATCACACCAAACTAGTTCTCACTACGTTCTCGAAAACGGGCTTCAATTGTGTACGAACGGACTGGACATACTTAAAACCGTTTGGGGTCTATTTACAAACTTCATCGAACGTACTCGAACGGATAGGTCCTCTAGAACTTAGAACATGCTCAAAATGTTCTCTTGGTCGTCTTAGAACGAGTGACAACCTACTAATGACGAGATGGACGTTACGAACGGAACCGTCGTACTTCAATCCTACTAGTGACGTTTTTACAACGAGTTGAACTGTCTGAGGACGTATTGAGAACAAGGTAGAACTTATTGCAAACGGGTTAAAACTGATTAAGAACGTATTTATCAATGAGTTAGCAAAAATATAGCCATCACACCAAGCAAGTTGCCACTGCGTTCTTCAAAACTGGTTTTAAACTGTGTGCGAACAGAATGAATGTAGCTACAATGTTCCACGGTCAGTTTACGAACTTCATGGACTTTCCCGGATGGGGAATGTGATTTACAATTTTGAATCGATTCAAAATTCGATGACGACCATACCGTTCTGTAATCAGGTCATGATGACCTTCTAGACTAAGGGACGCATTATACAACGTTGCACACCGACGTGTTGCGACCTGAACGAACTGCGAATGAGATGGACGTATTGAAGACTGTTTGTGAACGAAGTAGCTAATTATTTTTAGGCATATTTCCCGACCACAGCCAGATTGAGCCCGTTTTACGACGTTGTCGTTGGACTTGCAAGAATGGGTAAGAACTAGTTTGGTGTGATAGGGGGGTAATGCAAAAGCAAGCTCACCTTTCCATTCTTGAAGATGATAAGACTGAAAGACTTATCAAACCAGCGGTCATATCCTTTACCATGTAGACAGGTCCTGCCAAATTTGTCCAGAGCACCAATGTCTTTCTGTAATGAAAGGCTTTAAAATGATATATGGTTGAAACAACAGTGTTATAGATTTATGTAACATGTGATAGAGAGTGAGAAAATATTTACAGTTAATCAAGCAGTGTGTCCTTTATCATCTAATATCTCATTACAGACATTTGATATCAAATGGTACAACAAAACCATTCTAATAATCTTGCAAGACATACACACAATATGGACATTATTTTGGTTATCATTTGGTATTTAAAAGGCATTGGAGTGCTTAAGCCCAGTGATTAGTGACTGTTACAAAATACAAACATAATGAATAATAAGAAAAACTTATAAATGGACTTCCAAAACTAGACTTAAGCATTGATTCAGAAAAATGGTTGGTTGAAAAAAATTGTTGAAAAATGGGCACCACTAGAAATGATAGGAGGTCAATAAATTCTGAATTGTTTCAGTTAATAACTGATGGTACCTTTAATAGAGGACGCTTAAATAAAATAAAATATTAAAATAATGTACGAGTACAAAATGTGTAATCAAATTCAACAGCCAAAACAAAAGCTTATTTTTAGTAGTGTTATAGTTCTTTATATACTAACACTGCCATTTAAAACAGCCAAATGCCCATTGAGAGGATCCTATGAAGACAGGAAAAATAAATAAATAAATTTTAAGAAACTTTTTCATATCAAAGCTTAGAACATGATCTTAATTTTTGTTTTAAGCATCATCCAATAACAAAATAGAACCATGTTACATTTCAACCACCAATCATCAAATTTCTTATTTCTGATAATACTAGCTATAAAAGCAATAGGTTGGATATATAATTCTCAAGGGGATGCTGGGAAAGATTTTGCATTTTCCCATAAGACAAAGCAGGGTTATGTAAGGGGTATAAGCGATGTGGCTGGAACTTTGAGAATTGAAATGTGCTGCTGGTAAGAGCAGGGTGTAACATAGCATTTAACTGTGTTCCTTATTTCTTCAATCTTTTTGAACATGCCTTTAAGTATATGTGTAGTGAAGTACATTGGTATAATAGCCAGAACATAAATGCAACATTAACCAAATTATTCCAACAATTGTCCTTAATTAAATAAAATACCTTGAGAGCTTGTCTCTGAAATAAAAAGATAGCTTATGATGACATAAATTTGTATTTATTGATATAACTACAAGTACATAAATTCTGTAAATGCCACAAGACGTGACAGGTATTCAGTGAAACTGAAATATTTTGGACAGAGGAAAGGTGAACTAAACTTTTCAAAAATGCAGTCCATTAATGTAAGAAATATATACAATAGTAATCTTTATCATGCCAACAAACTGATGTTTTGAACATTTAAAATCTGCACTGACCGGGTCAAAACCATGTTCTTCCTCATCAAGAGACACAAAGAACGCAGCTTTTTCGACAGCATCAAGAGACGTCTTGTTGACACCCTTGGAGAAATGTTGCTTCCTGGCCTTGGCCCATGGGATACGATCGCCAGCTGTCATAGCGGCCAACTTCTCCTCTCCTTCGACTGGCTCAGATTCATCGTCTAAGATTTTCTGGAGGGACCTTTAATGACAAACATCAGCATAAGTACATTACTTTGTATCAGCACAATATTTAAATTGGAATCAAAAGAGTTTAGAAGAAATGGCAATTATCACCTTATTTTTGGCATACGTCATACATGTACTCATGCTACAAGAGATGTCACTGATAGCTGGTTTTGTTCCGACCTGCAGAACTAGATAATGGCAACTCCGCGGAGTAGCAAATCCCAACGAACAAAATATCAATTACCGAATTCCAATCAATTATACTCATTACTTTGGTTGAAAATGAAAAAATTAGATTTTAGAATTGCGAATTCCTGCAAAGCAGCCATTTTGAATTTTCTGAGGTACAAATCTGAAAAATAATACCATAATTGTGATCTACTCCAAAATTCCTTCAATTTGAGTATAATATAGCCATACTTTGAAGGGATCGAAAAATTATTGCGAAATCGTACATTAGACGGCCATTTTGAATTTTACGAGGCTCGAATCAAAAAAAAGATACAATATTTGCAATCTACTCTTAATTGCCTTTCATTTGAGTATAATAAAGCTATACTTCAGAGAGATCTAAAAATTAGCGAAAATTTCTGTTTTCCTTTCCCCCCATACATGGCCCCTGGGGGTCAGGATGAAAAACACGGAATATATGTGAAATAGATAAATGTTGTGAATACACTACCGAAATTTCAAACAATAATATTAATTACTTTGGTTTAGAATGAAAAATTTATGATTTTTGTGAAAAAGTCCCGTCAGTTTTAAAGTGGCGGCCATCTTGAAATTTTTTTTTTTGCGTAAAACTATTCACCAATATACATCTTTCCACTAAATATGAAGAAAATCTGTCAACTAGTATTTGAGTTATCTTCCGGACAGACGGACGGACTGACTGACTGACTGACTGACTGACTGACTGACGGACAGACGGACGGAGGGCTTCACTATATCCCTTACGAACTTCGTTCGTTGGGATAATTAGGCTCTCAAGTAGGTTTGGTTTAGGAATAAGAAGAGCCAACAACTCAAAGGTTTTAAATTAATCTAATATGCACAGTCACTCTGTTCTGAAATTGTTCCTTTCTGAAGCCAAATCTTTCTAATCGAACTGTTCCAATTATAGATTATACATTTACTCACACTTCTATAGATTATATATGTACTCACACTTCTATAGATTATACATTTACTCACACTTCTATAGATTATACATTTACTCACACTTCTATAGATTATACATTTACTCACACTTCTATAGATTATACATTTACTCACACTTCTATAGATTATACATTTACTCACATTTCTATATACTATACATTTACTCATACTTCTATAGATTATACATTTACTCACACTTCTATAGATTATACATTTACTCACACTTCTATAGATTATACATTTACTCACACTTCTATAGATTATACATTTACTCACACTTCTATAGATTATACATTTACTCACACTTCTATAGATTATACATTTACTCACACTTCTATAGATTATACATTTACTCACACTTCTATAGATTATACATTTACTCACATTTCTATATACTATACATTTACTCATACTTCTATAGATTATACATTTACTCACACTTCTATAGATTATACATTTACTCACACTTCTATAGATTATACATTTACTCACACTTCTATAGATTATACATTTACTCACACTTCTATAGATTATACATTTACTCACACTTCTATAGATTATACATTTACTCACACTTCTATAGATTATACATTTACTCACATTTCTATATACTATACATTTACTCATACTTCTATAGATTATACATTTACTCACACTTCTATAGATTATACATTTACTCACACTTCTATAGATTATACATTTACTCACACTTCTATAGATTATACATGTACTCACACTTCTAGCTCACAAGGCAGAAGAAGTCTTCCCTTGTAATGCACATAGACCTTGTAGTATCTCCCCTTGTGGTAGACACAAACATGCTTGCTGTCCTTGTAGTGGACCAGTTGATCTGAAATTAACATAATAGTATTTATGGTTCATTCAAGGGGCTTACCAGGACATTTTCAAATCATCTATAACTTTGTTGTAGATTTAAAGTTTTAATGCCATCTCGCCGGATTTTTCACTCTCTTTTTTGATGGCTTATAGTTATAGTCTACTGTAAAAGGTATTTACATTTAACAGTTCTTTTAGTTAATGATCATTCAGAACAATTTACTAAAACAATTTACTTAATACATTCACCTTTTCCACAAGAAATAAATCCTTACCCTAAATGAGCAGCAAAGTGCTGCCACCTATAGAATAGCTAGATTTGTTCAGTATATGTCCAATCATTCATTCAACTTTTAATTTATTGTTGAATTAGAAAACTACTGCTCATTCTTACCTGTTTCAACTCCAGGTATTCTCGTTGTATTAAACTGTCTTTCATACTGCCAGGAACACAGAGGCACAGTCTTATTCAATTGGATCTACAAAGACATATAAGAGTATGTACATAGTTGTATTAAACTGTCTTTCATACTGCCAGGAGCACAGAGGCACAGTCTTATTCAATTGGATCTACAAAGACATATAAGAGTATGTACATAGTTGTATTAAACTGTCTTTCATACTGCCAGGAACACAGAGGCACAGTCTTATTCAATTGGATCTACAAAGACATATAAGAGTATGTACATAGTTGTATTAAACTGTCTTTCATACTGCCAGGAGCACAGAGGCACAGTCTTATTCAATTGGATCTACAAAGACATATAAGAGTATGTACATAGTTGTATTAAACTGTCTTTCATACTGCCAGGAGCACAGAGGCACAGTCTTATTCAATTGGATCTACAAAGACATATAAGAGTATGTACATAGTTGTATTAAACTGTCTTTCATACTGCCAAGAACACAGAGGCACAGTCTTATTCAATTGGATCTACAAAGACATATAAGAGTATGTACATAGTTGTATTAAACTGTCTTTCATACTGCCAAGAACACAGAGGCACAGTCTTATTCAATTGGATCTACAAAGACATATAAGAGTATGTACATAGTTGTATTAAACTGTCTTTCATACTGCCAGGAGCACAGAGGCACAGTCTTATTCAATTGGATCTACAAAGACATATAAGAGTATGTACATAGATGTATTAAACTGTCTTTCATACTGCCAGGAGCACAGAGGCACAGTCTTATTCAATTGGATCTACAAAGACATATAAGAGTATGTACATAGTTGTATTAAACTGTCTTTCATACTGCCATGAACACAGAGGCACAGTCTTATTCAATTGGATCTACAAAGACATATAAGAGTATGTACATAGTTGTATTAAACTGTCTTTCATACTGCCATGAACACAGAGGCACAGTCTTATTCAATTGGATCTACAAAGACATATTAGAGTATGTACATAGTTGTATTAAACTGTCTTTCATACTGCCAGGAACACAGAGGCACAGTCTTATTCAATTGGATCTACAAAGACATAGAAGAGTATGTACATAGTTGTATTAAACTGTCTTTCATACTGCCAGGAGCACAGAGGCACAGTCTTATTCAATTGGATCTACAAAGACATATAAGAGTATGTACATAGTTGTATTAAACTGTCTTTCATACTGCCAGGAGGCACAGTCTTATTCAATTGGATCTACAAAGACATATAAGAGTATGTACATAGTTGTATTAAACTGTCTTTCATACTGCCAGGAACACAGAGGCACAGTCTTATTCAATTGGATCTACAAAGACATATAAGAGTATGTACATAGTTGTATTAAACTGTCTTTCATACTGCCAGGAACACAGAGGCACAGTCTTATTCAATTGGATCTACAAAGACATATAAGAGTATGTACATAGTTGTATTAAACTGTCTTTCATACTGCCAGGAACACAGAGGCACAGTCTTATTCAATTGGATCTACAAAGACATATAAGAGTATGTACATAGTTGTATTAAACTGTCTTTCATACTGCCAGGAACACAGAGGCACAGTCTTATTCAATTGGATCTACAAAGACATATAAGAGTATGTACATAGTTGTATTAAACTGTCTTTCATACTGCCAGGAACACAGAGGCACAGTCTTATTCAACTGGATCTACAAAGACATATAAGAGTATGTAAATATATATCATGAACTATACTATAGTTTTTGCTTACAAGATTTATTTCATAGGTGCAGGTAAATCACATTTTGGCGTTAAACGTGCCTGAAAATATATAATAAAATTCTAAACAGCAGCTAGTATAGATAAGTAGATAAGTCTATGCATGTTTTGTGTTCTATGTTATGTGGAACCAATAAAATTACCTCTATGAAAACCTGGCTTACGTACACTCTCTGTTGAATGCCCAAAAATTAAATACATCTAAAACTTCCAAAAAATTACATAACATTCTTTAAAGATGACCACTTACTGGTTTCAGTTCCTCCCTATCCTGTAAACGTCTAAAGGACAGGAATGTGTAGATGACATTAGCTGCCCTAGCGACTTGTACAGTAGTGGGGTGAATGAACACTGCATCTACGCCATAATAGTTGCTGTTCACCATTAGGGGAGCACGGCCTCTCAGATAGACATATTCTTCCCACCAATCAGACACCTAGAAAATAAATGAGAGATAAAAAATGAAAATCATACATATTTCAGATTTATTGGTCAGATATGAAATATGGAGCAAATTCTAGTTATTTTGTATAAATGGTGGGATCAAAATTGACTTTTTAGTAACTTTAAAAGTATATGACAAATTTTTAATAATTAATTAATTTTGTAACGGTGACCTTAAGCAGATAAAGGATTGTTGAAACAAAGAATTTTTCAGACCAAAACCTGTGACAGGGTATTTTAAGTTCAATTTATAATACATGTTGTATATGATAACATTGTTATATTTAATCAGAACACTAAACACAACATAAATGAGAAATTTTACCAGTAAATTTTCTATTAATTACAATACAAACCTATTCCATGACATATGCTTACTCCCCTTATTTGGAGTAATTGGCAAGTCTAAAAAACACCCCTTTATAAAAAGTGGACTGGCCCAAGTGGCCAATATCGATCCCCAACTCATTATGTATTCATATTTAATACGCTAACAAAATAATAAATAACCTCCATTTTCCCAAAGGCGGGGAGGCTGGGTGGGCCTCTGGTCATGGAATAGGTTTGTATTGTAATTAATAGAAAATTTACTGGTAAAATTTCTCAATTACATACAATCCAACCTATTCCATGACATATGCTGAATAAAAAGTTAAGGAGGTGGGGACCTCGTTACTAAAAGTACAAAAGAACTATATTACCATCCTAATGAGATGTCACCCAAAGAATAGTACATGTACCATTACCCCCATCTGCTAGTTGGATCCAAGACGGAGGCTGTTACATGTCCAACTGGAGACTGTTATGTCCTATCAGAGTGAGCAGTCTTAGCCATTTAAGGGTAATGACCAACTCCTATGAATAGAGACTGGTTAACCAAGAAAGGGCCGTTTAAACCAAACGAGGTAACCGTTGCAGTTCTTCAAGGGTCCAGGTCACAAGCTAGTTGAGTTGAACCCTTCTGCAAAACAGTCGAGGCCAAGCTTCCCACGTGAATCCATCTGCAGATATATAGTGAGTGAAGAACACTTACGTCTAAAAGTTGCAGAGAGTGCCAGCTAGTACCACCGGGCCCAGCTTGTGCATGCCTTTCTCCAGTACTGTCACATCTCTGAGGTAGTAACTTGTGAAGGTGTTGTGGGATGCCCATGAACAGGTCTTGAAGAGTGCTGTTAATGAGGCATTGGCTTGTAGAGCTAGTGAGGAAGATATGGCTCTTGTCTCATGTGGTCGTATCTTCCCTTGTAACTTGCTTTCTTCTGAGGCATTCTTGTAGACATAGTTCAACAGTTGTTTCACCCAACTAGAGAGAGTGTTAGGGTGTACATCAGAACTGCATCCTTTCTTGAAGGGGATGAAAAGTCTATTCCTGACTCCTCTGATAGGAACTGTGGCTTGAAGATAATATCTTAGGGCCCTCACAGGACATAAGAATTTATCTGGCGTTTCATTTCCAACGAAATTAGCTAGAGCCTTGATAGTGATTGGTTGGAATCTGGACTGTCCTTCTGCGCAATTCAATGATTTCGGCAGGAAACCAACAAAAGGGAAAAGTACCGCTTCCAAGTTGTTTCTAGTCCATTGTATACGCCTAATGTCTATGGCATGGATGTCAGAACGTCTTTTCCCTGAAGCCAACAGTAGAAGGAAAAGTGTCTTCCACGATACATGTTTGAGATCAGCTGTCGACATTGGTTCGAAGGGAGGTTTGGTTAACTCGTGTAGTACAAACACTAGGTCCCACTTAGGCATCAGATCTTTAGGCTGAGCATCTTCTAATTTGAACGAATGGATCAGATCAGAGATTTCTTGAGTCGACGAGAGTGATGTGCCACTTGAATGTTGAAGGACTTGATTGATGACAGTTCTATAACCTTCAATGGTACTCACTGTTAACTTCTTTACTGAATGAAGATAAAGTAAGAAGTCAGCTATTTCTGGAACAGAGACTGTGCAGGGATCCAGATTCCTCTCAGAACACCAAATAGAGAACTTCTTCCATTTGGCATCATAGACTCTGTTGGTGGAAGGTCTTCTAGCATCTGATGCGATTCTTTTTGACACTTGTGTTGAAAAACCCTTCTGAGTGAGAGATTTCGTGAGAGTTTGCAAGCGTGAAGATGGAAAAGTTCTGGATTTTGATGGAAGATCTGACTTCTTGGCATTTTGAGAAGTTTCTCCAATGGGGGGATTTCCCTTGGATAGTCCACTAGAAGATCTAAAAGTTCTGGGAACCACGGCTGATTCTGCCATTTTGGAAGGATTGCTAGAGCTAAACAGTCGTGATCCTTTATCTTTTGTAGAACTAATCCTATCACTGGCGTGGGGGGATAGATGTACAGATGAAGATTTTGCCAGCTTAGGGATAGAGCGTCTGTTGCCCAAGCTGCTTGATCTTGTATTGGTGAGACATACACTGGTAGTTGGTTGTTGTAGCATGTCGCCATCATGTCTAGATTTGGAGTTCCCCATATCTTGAACATCTGTTTGACAACTGCTGGATGTAAGGACCATTCTGTCGCAACTATCTGATTTCCCCGGCTCAACAGATCTGCTCTTCGATTCAGTCGACCTGGCACATGTCTTGCGCGAACGGACTTGATGTAAATCGGCCCATAACCATATCTGTCGAGATAACTCTGTCAGTTTTGCTGACTGTGTTCCCCCTTGTTTGTTGAGGTAGGTTGTCGCAGTTGTGTTGTCTGCACAAATTAACACCATCTTTCCTTGGAGGTGAGTCTGAAAGTGTTGAAGGGCTTTCTGTATGGCTTTTAGTTCCAGCCAGTTTATGTGGTTGTTGGATTCTGATTGGGACCAGTTTCCACAGCACTCTTTCGATATGTTCAGATCCATGTGAGCTCCCCACATCGCTGTTGAAGCATCTGTGAATATTGTCACTTCTGGTGAAAATGGAGCTAAAGTCATCCCTTTCTCCAGATGCTGGCCTTGATTCCACCACAACAGGTCCAATCTTGCAGTACGATCTACTGTTATCATCTTGTCCAATGGATCTCTGAGTTGAGACCAATTCTGAGACAGGCATTGTTGGAGGAACCTCATGTGTAATCTCCCCAGTGGGACTTGTTTCTCTGCTGATGCCAGTAATCCCAGAAGAGACATCCACTGCTTGGCTGTTGCTCGACTTTCTGTGAGGAACCAGTCTGTTAGGTGTAGAATTTTGTCTATTCTGTCCTGGGGGGGATAGGACATCCCTAGATGAAGGTCCCACCGTACACCTACATAGTCGAAGATCTGCAACGGAATCAACTGCGATTTCTTGTGATTGATGATGAAGCCAAGGTTTTCCGTCACCGTCATCACAATCCGTAGGTGATCTGAGACTTCCTGTGGCGATGCTCCTCGGATTAACCAATCGTCTAAATACCGGTGGAGTTTTATCCCGAGCTTGTGGAAGAATGAGGCTAGGGGTTCCAGGATCTTGGTGAATATCATCGGTGCTGTTGCCAGACCGAAAGGCAGTACTCGAAATTGCAGAATTTTCCCGTTGACGACAAAACGGAGATACTTCCGGAAGTTCTCTTTCATCATTATATGAAGATAAGCATCCCGAAGGTCCAAGGATACTGCCCATTCGCCTTGTTGGAAGGAGGTCATGTACTGCTGTACTGTTTCCATTTTGAATTTGGGAACTATTAAGACTTGATTTAAAGTTCTCAAATTGATGACGGGTCTGTCTTCTCCATTCTTCTTCTTGACCAAGAATAGATTGCTGTAAAACCCTGGAGAATGTCTGTTTAGAACTTCTTCTACAGCATTCTTTTGCAGAAGGTCCTCTACCACTCTGCTGAAACGAGCTGCTTTGCTCGATGTTGAAGACTCGAACTGGTTTGGTTCGGTGCATAACGTCACAGTTGAATTCATCTGTGGGATGTATCCTACCTGGATCATCTTCAGTATAAACGGATCTTCCGTTAACAGCTTCCAATTCGGAAGGAAAAACATCAATCTTCCCCCTACAGGTCCTGGATAAGGAGGAATTGTGAAGATTGGGATCATAGAATGGTCACTTCTTGGAGAATCTGTTGTCTTTGTTGAAGTGCTTACCACCTTTATTGTCGTATTTCTTCTTGGAATCACGAAAATCTGATTTGGATTTGTCTTGTGATTTGGACCAATCTTTGTTAGAAGATTTCTTCCTGTAGTCAGGCCTGGATTGGCGTTGGGACCTGTCTTTGTCTTTACTAGATCTAGAACTGGACTGGGCCAAGGTAACTAGTGCTTGGTTTGTCAGATTTGAGGAGGCTGAGTCAACCAAATCTTTAAGTTGTGACTCTGGATACAAAGTGGTAGATGTATGCTCAACTGGTAGTACCCTCATAGATTCGCGGAAGCGTGTTGGTACTTGTTCTTGAATCAGATCACGTTGAAGTAATGCTGAGTTGGTGAGAGTCTTGAGAATACCTTCAGTAGCGGTAACAGAGGCTGTCGAACCCCTAAGGAGTAAATCGCCCATGGAATCTAACAACTGGGTAACTAGTGGATCCGTGTTGTTGGATAAGTGTGCTGTGAGTTGGGTAACTAACTTTGAAACAGAACCTATATACCACTCTGAGTACACCAAAGGTTGAAGGACAGCCCTCAAGTTCTCTTCGAGACCCTTCCAGTTTTTATTGGAGAGTTGAGTTTTAGTATCAGCATTCTTGAAGAAATCACTGAAGGTTTTATCATTTGGGACTAAGTTTCCAAGTGAATTATTGAGTTTGAGGGGCCGTACGACTGAATCATCTCCCTTGGCTAATCTATAATTTGAAGATTTGATTCTGAAGAGTTTTCCCTTTGTGTTGAAACCGGAAGTGGCAGATGAGATCTGATTATTGATATTCTGCACCAACTGATGGAACACTGGGGGACAAGGTAATGAAGCTTTAGTGACTGAAGATTCATCAACTTTCTGGAGAGCTACCCTAGTCAAAGATTCTTTAGAATTAGTGGAGCTGTTGACTTGGTCAATTTCTAAGGCTGATATGGTTGAATCCCATAAGGAACGAACTAACAAGACCGCTTCTTCTTCAGAGGACTTAGATTTAGACGGCTCGTTGTCATCAGAATCCAAAATACGAGGTTTAGAATCTGAATTTTGAGATTGTGAAATTTTGGAACTAAAATTGTTGATAATAGATCGTGAATTCTGAGTTCCCTGACGTGAAGTCCCGGAAATCCTACTCGGCGAACTATCAGAGGGTCTATTAGTGTGAGAGTAGGAGTGGTGAGACAATCTAGAAGGGCTTCTAAGCTGAGAAACGGGAGATCTTGAACGATTTCGAAAAGTTGACCTACTTACGTCCACGTGGTGTGTGGCGGAATAGTTGTAGTCACGAAATTTGGTGTCATTTCGGTGCGAATCGTTACCTCGTTTTCCCGTCTCTACGGCCTTCTTACTGCTCCGGGGGGACTGCTCTCTCGGAAGCGAGTATTCCGAGTTGTGTAAATAGCTTGAAGACGGGCTTCTACGGTCAGAAGGAGGTCTCGTTGGTGGCCTGTTTCCAAGGGTAGCCATTTTCCTAGTCACCGCCTCTTCCACTAAGGATTGGACATAATCTGTGACGGATGTGGTAGCCAAAGAGACGTCGTTTATCACTTCATTCCCGGTCAAAGTTGACGAGGTCGAGGGACCGTTCAAGTTCAATTCAGAAGTAATTTCACCCTGAATAGAGCCCTGTTCTGCCATACTACACTAATGTTATGACTATGATACTCTCTATTCAAAAAACAAATTCTGACTTATAAGTAACAGAAATTTGTTGAGTGAATAGATCATACGATATATATTGACTTGAAAAATTTTCCAATTACTCCTACGTGGCAAGAATTAAATATGAATACATAATGAGTTGGGGATCGATATTGGCCACTTGGGCCAGTCCACTTTTTATAAAGGGGTGTTTTTTAGACTTGCCAATTACTCCAAATAAGGGGAGTAAGCATATGTCATGGAATAGGTTGGATTGTATGTAATAGAAATAAAAGCACATCCTGTCTGTCTAGTCAGCTGAAGGAGATCCTAAAACAAGGTGACCCAGACAGACAAATCAGGCTTGAAATTTAGAAGGAATTTTTTAATTCTGTAAAATGTGATTGAAGAATGTAATTTTTTGTTATTATTTAGCTTTCCCTTCATCCATATTTACATTAATTATTCATTTTCAACTTATCTTGCATTTGAAAACATAACCGCCTTGACATATTAAATAAACACGGCTATTGAATCAATATTGAATAATTATTAACAATATGTATTCATACATTATTACATTCTAGAAAAGATCAATGACCTCAGGTACACTGCACTTTGTTTGGCTTGGGTTTTATTTCATGTATTATCATAGTTATCAATATACAATGTAGTAATTTTCAACATTGCATAAAAGAAGTAGAGACTTAAACAAGGTGACCCAGACAGAAAAGTAATTTCTTTAAAATTAACTCTCTGAAAATATGGTTGAAGAATATAATTTCCTGGTTCTCTACTACAGGGTGTTCACTAAGTAATAGGGAGTTTAAGCTAGCACATATAATCGGAACACCAACCTATATGTATGACAAATCGCCCATACAAATGCACCGCTTAAATATTTTACGTTCACATTTAGGTTTTGAAAATAACCTTAAACTCCCTAATGACACTAAGTCTCCCATTTTGTCAATTTTTAAGGAATCTTGCTTTTTCAGCATGTCTTAAAAGTATAATTGTGAGTTTATCACAACAATAAAATAATTTTACTCAATTTTGATGAAACAATGTATAACAGGGTTTTACATGATTTTGAGCTATGTATTCTCTGTTGAATTTATGCCAGTTGGTCTTTTTGATATGTGCACTCATTACTACATGCCCGATAATATGTGCAAAATCTATAAAGATTGGTTAAAACGACAGCTGATTTTAACTGTCGACAGATTTTAATTCTACCGTCACCAGCCGACTGTCGTTCTGTCGTTCAGGCACTACACCCTATATTATTTAGCTTTTCTTTCAACCCTGTTTACTTTTAGCATTGCTAATTCATTCCATTTTCAATGTATATTGCATTTGAAAACATAACCATATTAAACATGGCAATACTATAAGTTATTGAATGATTTGAAGTGCAATACAAGATATATTCTGCTCGAGAATTCCGTATTGGAACGAGACGAAGTCGAGTGCCAATACAGAATATCGAGACTAAATATATCCTGTATTGCACTTCAAATCAATCAATAACGTTTTTATTGTGTGCTCCTCTGTATTGCTACTGAGATTGTCCCCTCCGTACCAATATTTTCTGTATTGTGACGGAGATGATCAACGGGGACAATCTCAGTAGCAATACAGGTTGGTACAGCACAAGAACTGACCAATCAGAGGGCTTCATTTTACAGCTCATACGATAAATATAAATACTGTAGCATATAAGTATTAATATATAGAAGAAAGATCAATGACCTCAGGTACTTTATTTAGCTCTTAATTTTATTTCATGTGTAATTAAAGCATGTCATGTATTAATATTTATGTAATTTTCAACATTGCACTTCATACTTAAGTTCTATGAAGTTATTTTAAGAAAAGTCATTGACAATATCAATATTATGAAATCCTAATCACAAGTGATAGGTACTTCACTAAAAATAGGCCTTCAGACATGACACCAAAAATTGAGGCAAGATCTTTGTTGAAGAATGATTGAACAGCATTATTTAAGTGATGAGCTCAGTACATGTATACGGTAAATATTTATAACTCTTCTTCCCACTGTTAACAGGTATTTCAATATAAGAAGTATTTCTAATGTTAATATTATATGCATTTTTTCAAAACTATTTAGAATGTTAACTGTTGATTAGAATGTAATTTATAATTATTTATCTTAAAATAATAAAATTAGTTTATCTTGAATGTGATGCAGTTAATGGGTGCACTTTTTGAGATAAGCTATGCCTTTTGGCCTTGGATCTGGTTATTGAAATAATGATGTGTATTATATATATTATGTATGTTTATGTTCAAATTAATGAAATCTGATTTCATCTATTTCATGTTTCCTTAAACATTATTCAGTCACCAATTTAAGTGTATGTACTTTAAAAATACTCGAAAAAATGAAATACTCACTTAATAATTTCTTGTTAAGAAATGTATGTCTTTGGTTTTAATTCTTGAAACTTTATATTGCGAATGAAGTTACATAATTTGAAACTGAATCCCTGTTAATATTTTCTCATTACAGTGCAATACAAGTTAATAGCAAGGCATTAACATGCAAAATGTCACCACCTACCATTTGTTACATACACTGAATGCTGAACACCAACTGCCAAACACCGTCCACAAAAAAATTGGAGACTTTAACCATACGTCACCACTTCTGATGGTGACATAATAAAAAATCAAATATAATACATAATCTATGAGTACATACATAGTTTGTTGCCCACCAGGACTTTAAGGTCAGATATCTCTGAAGTTTCTTGCCAATTCCATTTTCAAATTCATTGGCAATTTCTCTCATTCTATTGTGTTTCTCTTCAGGCATCAGTGGCTTTACAGATTGTAAGTACTGGAATCAAATAACATGTTAAGCTAGTAAATGAGAGCTATTAGTTGCAATTTCTGACAAAAGACAAATTAGAGGCAAAAATCATAACAGTGCGAAATTCAACAACTGGTAATTCCGTAAAAACAACTGGAGAAAATTGCCTTTTGCCAGCTGTTAAAAAAGAAACTTTTATTTTCTGATTTTACAAACTGTTTAATTGACCAAAAAAGAAAAATTCATCATTCTAAAAAACACATTTTGTGATTCTTTTTGCAAACTAAATGAGCTTAACATTTCTAGGTATTGATATGATCTACTCCAACTCAACCAATCACATGTACACTTTATTGTCAACAATATAACAGATTGGTGCATTAGAAAGAATCTGCACAATTCATGACTTACCCTCCTGACTGTCCCAGAGAGTGGAGGAACTGGTAGCTTGGGTAAGGATGCCTGGTAACTGTACAGCAGGGGTGTTCTGCTAACTAAACACTTCACCAAAAGCTGAAATACAAAACATATACTATTTTAACATTACATGGTTTGTTTATTGTTTAGAAAAAAATTATAAATATTAAAAGATTTAAGCCCAGAACTCAATATATTGCGGATGATTTAATTAACAAATATGTTGTTTATCAGACTTTTGAATGCGTACAGCAGCAAGAATGCAAGTAAAAATTTTAAAAATATTGTAATTTTCTCGTGTAGCATTTTAGGGTTGCGTCATTTTTAGTGCAACATTTCAAGATTTTTTAGTGTAACCAGTGATTATATAAAACCAAGATACAAAAACTATTTTACATTAATATTGGTGAAAGGTACTTACCACCCAAAGTTTGGTCCTCAGAGGCATCTTTCCCCTGGCATCATACATCCATCCCTGATATGTTAACAGGGCTTTTAATGTATAGCGTATGATAGCAATGAAAGCTAGACACAGCATGGCCCCAAACAACAGACTGGATACATAGTGGTCCCATGGATCAGCAATACTTCGAATTCTGCAATTTGGATTTTAATTTATTTCTTAATTGTTCACCTAAACATTGGATAACAGGTTGTATGTATACAAAAATGATTGTTTTAGAGTTTCTAAGAATAAAATAAAATATTATCTCAAAAGAAACCAGCATATGTTTACACCCATTTTAATGCAAAATATAGGTCTGTGATGAATAAATTAAAACCATCCTATTGACACACTTTCAATTCAAATAAAATGGGTGGCTCAAGCAGCTTACTTTAGCATTACAGGAATGCCATATACTAAAGTGTATCACACTTGGGAGAACATATATGCATTTAGAGATGGAATGTATCTAGAAGTTAATTATCATATGAAGTTAATTATCGGTGAATTTCTTAATTTTAACAGTATCTTCCTTTATAAATTCCGATCATCATGGCCTCTACTCGGCTACATTCATTCATTTGGATTAAGGATTTCAATTTCACACGTCAGACATGATGAAGAAGTCACTAGTGAACATTAATTCAGTGTGATATAAAGATTGAATAAATAAGCATTGAATTATAATTTATTGACAGTACACACTGACTATAAAGCATTTATGAAAGCTACATGACATTTTGTTGATTAAGGGTACATAATATTCAATTGCTCTGTTGAAACAACAATATTGACATAGCCACCTTTATTAGAAACATAAATTAATATTACATTACCTAAAGAAAATTCATGGTCATTTTTGTTCCATTCAACTTACATACATGTAACGTATTCAACATTTTCTTATGAAACCATCATCCCAAGACATTGGGCAAAAAAACTCATCAGTTTAAATTACACATACATTAGTTCTACACAATTTTGAAATATTTTAAATACTACTATTTACACAATTTTAGGTATAAGTAGGGCAAAAAGGTTAAGCAAACTCAAAAGTAACTGAATGGTCTAAATTATATGAAAATGGCTATTTTTGCAACCCCTCGGGAAGGCAGCCATTCAGGGAACACTTATAAGTGCGATAATTTTACTAATTTTACTTATTTTACTTACAGTGGCCATTTTTCAATCCAGAGCGCCCATCTTGTGATCCAGTTATCCGTATCTGCTAGAACCAGGGCTAAGACTATTGACATGAAGAACATCCAAGTAGCTAAGGGCATTGGGTATGCATGGTTTATCAGGTTGTTCTGCAAATATATTTATTTAAGGATTTAAGCCTAAGACTCAATGCATTGTTTGCTGCATCATACCATGAAGGTGTTATTTCCAAACCTTTGCATGACCGCGCATACATTGCAGTTTTTTCTATAAAATCATCTAAAAGGAACGAAATCACTAAAAGAACACATTTTCAATGACATTTTTTGCAAGGATCAAGTTGGCAAGTCATCAAATCCAATGTGAAAAATCAATTCATTACCATGACAACTGTTTAACTTGTGACCTTGCATGTGTTATTGATATTTCACACACTGTTCATTATGTGAATACTCTGTTCGGATTGACTGGAATTGGACACATGTTGCCTAGCTATTTGTGAAACATGTATTATGTGTATGAATCTCTAATGACAAGAACAAAATGCTGGAAAACAAAAAAAAGTTTTTCTCTACATAGTTTTTTTAAATTTTTCTCCTAATGGCCTAGTCACATAGCCCGGCCGATGAGGTTACAATGAGCCAGCGATGCAATTTTCATCGAACTCGGCCGAACACCGGCCGGACATCCGTGGCGTTTGTTGCTTAAAACCGCATCGGTGGAAGCTCGGTGAAATTTTAACTTCGGAGTTAAATTTCACCGGGCTCTCACCGAGCTCCCTCATCATGTCATCGCAGCCCCATCGTAACCACATCGGAAAACACGTCGGCCGGTGCACGGCCGAGTATCGGTTGGTGTCCCGTGCATCTGAGACAACCAGAGGACGAGGTTTTTTAACGGACAGCGGCCGAGCTCCGATCGAGCTCCGGCCGATGTGGGACAGAGCATCGGCCGGTCACTGTTCAAAGCCCGTTAACAAGCCGGCCGGCGATCGCACAGTGTCCTGTTACCTGCTCGGGTACCGGCCGTATTCCTTCCGATGTCCGGCCGACCTCCGGCCGGTAGTTGCTGCCACATCGGCAGAAAAAAACTACCATTTTGAGACAGACTCCGTACGGTCACTGGCCGGTGTTCGGCCGGTCGCCTGAAGATGTCCGGACGGAGTCCGTTCACGTCACCGAGCTCTGCTTCCGATGAGGAGAGCTCGGTGGCACCAAAAAAATCCACCGAGCTCTAACGATCCCGGACATCGGCCGGGCTATGTGACTAGGCCATAAATGTCAAACAAGTATGCTTGATGGTATTCTCGGGATTTTTTATTAAATGGGTGCAAAATTATCATTTCACAGATCTATATAAAAATGATCAAAATATGTCAATCATTTTTCATGATTTTCACATTTGCAGGTTTGGTTTATTGTTGTATTGTATTGTATTTTGTTTACCACCAATGAAAGTGAGCAGTAACCTCTTGGGTATATCCCGTGTATATACTGTTGTAGTTAACATAATAAGCCTGGAAGATAGACCCAGAAACCCCTCCTCAGATCACTACTCTTTGCACAACAGTGAATATTTTTTTAAAGATTATTTATTACCTTGATTCTAAACATTGTTTCTTTTCGCTTTGTCCTGACGGTAAGTTCAATACATTCTATGTATCCCTTTAGAAGATTCATTGCATTATCCTTTAATGACTTGAATAACCATTCATCACATTTTGGAATTTGAAATGCATCAATGCTCACATTTTGTCCCTGGTCAGTGGACTCCTTATTTTGAATGGAACCATTTTGTATCTTGCTTTTAGACTCCAAGACAATTTGTCTTTTCTTAAATTTGCCTTTACGCTTTACTTTTGCCATTAAAAACTTTTGATATCAATTTTAGCGGTGCTCCTGATACATCCTCAAACCCCTTTAACTATATTCCACAAGTTTTCAATAACAGCCTTTTACACTTAAACTAACATTACACTGAAAGGGTCTTAATCTGAGGATGTGCTTTATTTACCAGCCATTGAAAAGGAAGTTGATTTTACTATTTGTCCAGCAAATGTCCGATTTACTTGTATATTTACCGAAGATCGAAACAACTTAAAGTTTGGCATTTTCAAGGTTAAGTTCAGAATTGTTCAGATGCCCAATAGCAAGGGGACTCCCCGAGGGGTATGTGATAATGTGTCTTGACCCGGTGGCCTCTAAAAATGGGACTAAATGGAACTTTGGGGTATTTAAAAATGAACAAATGTGACAAATAAATGCTTACAAGTGACAATTAGTACATTTATCTGACTGGAAAGTTTTTTGAAAGTGACAATATAGACAATTCGTTGTGAATGTAAATAGATGCAAGTTAAGATGACTTATTCTAACCAGTAACCACTATTTGTTGCATTAAATGCTTTGACTGACTAAAAAGGAATGATTCTGACAAAATATAACAAGTAAATTTTAAATGTGACAGAGACAATTTTGAAATTTTAAAAGTGACAAAAGCTACCTCACTGCCCCTCTTTGGGAGCCCTAGCAAGCCCTGATCATGGCCAATGGATTTGATGACTTCCCAACTTGACCCTTGCAAAAATGTCATTGAAAATATGTTCTTTACATGATGTTGTTGCTTTTGGATGATTTTGTTGAAAAAATTGCAATGTGTGAAAAGAATTTAAGCTCAAGACTCAATGCATTGTAGCCGCGTGGTCATGCAAAGGATTGGAAACAACACCTTCATGGTATGATTCAGCAAACAATGCACTGAGTCCAGGGCTTAAATCCTTAAGCCAAAATCTACAACACCATCATAATACATAGCAGTGCGCGAAATAGACGTCCGACATCGGCCATTGGCCTGACAAAATTATAGATGGCTTGTTTTGATAAAAACACCCAGACATTTTGGCCTGCTAGACATTTGTGGCATTCGTTAGATTGCCCATGAAGGCATGAATAGAACTTACATATCAGTCCGGAAATCCTCCGAATTCCCTGCGTTTTCGGCTTATTTCATGACTTTTGTTGAAGATTGAAAAACATTTCAAAATATTTTTGTTTGGTACCGAAGCACAAGATATTACGTGACTTTCGATTGGCTGTTGTTGTTTGTTGAAATTACGGTGATTTTGATTGGCTATGAATGACTCATTTCTTAATTGTCGTTCGCAAATCGAGTGCATTATCAGTATGCCGGATGTAGGAAAGAAATTGAAAAATCGAGCCGGCATCTAAGTCGAAAAAGTCGGCAGTTTGGAAGTATTTTGGGACTCCGATATCACAAGGTAAACGAATTGGTGATAGTACACCATGCAGACTATGTGAAATGCCGATCACATTCGCGGCAGATGCTTTATATTTGATTTAATTGACGTATTTCTGAATGTGATTTTGAAAAGTGAAACTGAAAGTGAAAGTGAAACTGTCATCATCAGACGATTGTATCATGTTCTGTCTGTCCCGTCCCGTCCCGTCCCGAAAGTACCGTATCCCGAGACCATTTGTACCGATCCAAACCGTACCGAATTTTTTTGACCGTGACACCAATAATATATACCTTGAATTTTAGTGGAGTCTGTGTACATAATATGTGTTTTTGAATACCTTGAAGCTTCTGATTTCTGAGCAATTCTAAACTGAACAAAATCAGTACAATTTAGTTTGATCAATATGTACATGTTCCTCATGTTTTTGCAAGGTGAATCTAGGGGGGGATCAACACACTCAGGCAGTGTTGTCATTAACAGCCGGTCCACTGGCCATTATCTGGTTAATTTTGATACGGACCAGTTGATTTTTTAACTAGGTATAGGAAAATAACATGCAACTGGTCCGTAATATCATTTTGACCAGCAGGTTTCAGCCCCTTAGTGTCTACACTGCACTCAGGCTGTTGGTTAAGTCATCGAGTACAGTATAGTGAATGATACATGACATGCAATATGCAATTAGTTTTATCTTTGTTAATATTGTACTAAACTAAATCTCAATTTAGAGTGGTTGTGGAGAAATATGGTAAGTGAAATTTTTGGCCAGAGAAGGAAGAAACAGCCTGCCAAAAATTGGCCTGAGAAAAAATGATATGGCTTGTTAAAATCTGGCAGGCCTGCCAAAATGTCTAGGTTAAAAAAATCCTTATTTCATGCACTGCATAGTCTATACATTATTTAACTACACCCCGGAATAGCCTGACAACGGTAAAGTCAGATACCGTTGTCACAAATGGCGGACATAACCGTCGCTTCAATTAGATTTTCATGAATTGTATGTTTAATAGAGCACCTAGACTAAATTCCTTTGGAACAACAATCAATCAAAGTGTCTTAATACTCATTGTACAGTTAATAATGTTCTACCATCGAAATAAAGTCTTTAATTTTACCGACCAAAATGAGATATGGGACAACGGAGACTGTAATTACCATATGCCGTTCAGATTCTCAGATTCCGTTGTCCTTCACAATATCGAAGACGCTATATTATGGCGCTTCACGACCCAATTTGATGGAAAATGGGATTTCATATGATACATTATCACAAGAGCTTAATGCATGCACAGAATTAGCGACGATAAAATCCCATGAAATGAAGACCTAGTGATTAAACAGTTGAAGCAACAGTTATGTCCGCCATTTGTAACAACGGTATCTGACATTACCGTAGTCAGGCTATTCCGGTGTGAACTAGTCATTCTGCAGGAAATATTCTCATGAGTAAATCCATTTACATATACTTACTCAAAATAGAATCTCCAAGCAACCAATGGTTAAAAAATCATGAAATTCACTTACCCTGAATTGTGCATATCTTTTTTTCCATGACCTAACTCCGCTTCCCCAGACTGCCCATAAAGCCTCATGGTTCAGATCAAAGTCCACTCCTTCTGGGGTCACGGTAAATGAGAATGCAACGGCAGAATGAGCTTCAGCCATATTGGCCCCACTCTGGTGATGATCTTTACAATAACGTGTCCAACTTTAATATTGTATTATCTGATGATGTAATCCGTTAATTCAGAGATCCCTGATGATGTAAGTTTAGATTCCAAATCTTGGAGACTGGGATATCAATTTTGCAGTGGGATGAAAACTGAAAATACAGAAGAATTAAATAAATTAATATTTCTATTGATCAATGTTCAACTGCACATCCAATCTAATACACAATGACAACTTTATATTTTTCTCAAAATGATTTTTTAGAATTCCAGTTAAAGCCAATGTTTGATATATTCAGGTAATTTAAGAATGTTCTTTTCTAAAAACTCATTGCTTGACCTAGTTTACCGAGATACAAAATGTAAAAGTACCTACTCCTAGATATCAACATTTCTTGGAATTATCTTCTTTCTTGTTTTACTCGCACGCATGCACAATAATATGACCATTCAAGTAAACAACACATATACTTACTATATTGACAAACAGGTTAGACAAACAATAAGAAAAGTTTTGCAATTGTAATTAGTTAAAACTGCATGTACTTCAAACAGGAATCATAATTGAACATTGTTTCTGTGTATTTTATTAATAAAACTTCCTTGTTTGTATTTGTTTGCCTTTACCTTAACTCTTCAGTGCAGGTCTGATAAGACTGCATGGCAATATTTGCAACTATTTTTATTTATAGACAGTTGTACTTGAGCAGATAACCTCATTTAGGTAAGGGTATTTTAATATTTGTAATGATTTTTTGCTTTTGCAAAAAGTTGATGAGATGATGTTTTACAATTCTAACATCATTACAAAACATTAAACATAGAATCAATGTTAGTTTTCCATATATGTTGCATTGGCCTTATTCATTATAATCATATAAAATGTAGACCTTCATTCAGTACTATGGCTGCAAACATTTTTTATCTACCTTGGCCTTAAAACATTTAAGTACATGACGAGTGTGATACAAAAAGTAAGCATTGATAGAACCATTTTTCAATGAAAATCAATCCAAGAACTGTATGTATAGTGGATTAACAAATCACTTAATATAATATATAGTAGGAAGAGGGGGGTCACTGATCAATAATTCAATTTCTAATCTGATCAATACACTGAATCAAACCATTATAGTACAGAATAATATCCAGTATAGTTCAATAAACAGTCCCAATGTATATCACTTAGGGACTCAGTTCCCCTTGCATCTTGTAAATATTTTTAATTTCAATGTTTTCTCAAAACTGTGGTAGAACTCTATTTTGGCTCTATTGAAATGCACATGTTAAATTGAGTTCAAGTTCAATTTAGAACTTCACTTTGCCCCTCCAAAGAATATCAGTGAAATGCAGCAAAAACTGTACCTTCCTAATTTAAAAAAAATCTAACGAAAATCAAAACTTCTGCTCTCTTATATAGATGGAGTGGCAAAATGTCATCATATTTGTGTGTATTGACCAATTCACCACTACAAAGCACAACCATTCGCAGAAATAAATCCCGGATATTTTACCATTTTCTGATATAGTCTCCCAGGTATCTTGTACACTATACGTCTGCAAATTAGAGTATTCTATCCAAAGACGGTGAAGTTATATGCCATTAAAGTCCCAAACAGATTTTTAATAGAACTACTTTCACCATGTCATGAAATAAACAAAGCAAGTAATGATAGTACAGTCTGTGAAGTAGGTCTTGTTATGAATAGCATATACAAAGAATTTTGTTTTCTCATGATAGCAGCGGATCACTGACCTTGAATTGAAGTGCTTACAGCTAAGAGGTCTATTTGTGTACATGTATCCTCCAAATTCAACCCAACTTCTTCATCCTTTAACCATATAAATAAAATTTGTTACGAACCTAAGTTAAAAAAACATTTTACTGGAGACGGTTAGTGCTGAATCTGCCTGCTACTTTTCGAAATAATATATAATATGTTTAAGGATGTTCCCTGGACGAAGTTGAAAACGATGAACACCAACCCCTAATTTTTCTTTTCAAAATGTGAAGTACATAGCATAACTAAGTGTTTCTGTGAGTTTAAGAAAAAGTTAAATATTCAAAAGTGTGTTTTGGGGTGAAAACCTGATTTTTAACATGGGTTTCAATGAGAAAGTGCCACGCCCACTTTTGTCAAATATTGACACTTTAGAGGCCTCTTGCTCAGAAAAAAGCACACTAACATATGGTTTTTAAAGTTTTAATATTCTTTGTTGCCCGTGAGAATCCCAGAAAACCATTTTTGAGAAAAAGTTAAATACTATTGAATATTTTCCTATCTGACCAGGGAACATCCTTAAGGTACCTATTTAATCTGCTTTCATATTTAACAGCAAATTTTCCAATTTCTATCTTGATTCTTAAAGTATCCAACCTCATGAAATAGTCCTTTAGATGTGAAAAAGCTAGATGTTATATTGCTGATATTAAATAGCAAATGTTTGTTGTCATTTGATCTAAAAACATAAACAATCATTATGGGTATATCGTGTATATTCAAGAAATAAAATCTTTTTTTGGAAAATGAATGTTAAGTTTTTTTGGTTGTGGTAGCGAAACGAGTTTAAGTAAAAATAATAGGTTATCATAAATGTTTTCTGTTCTAGTTGTTCTATATTTTGACGACCAGGGTTGAGAGTTAATCTGATGTAGATGTTTGTTTCATCTATCTGACAAGATAATTTCTACAAAAAGATATGATTAGAAACATTTAAACACTTACATTCAGAGCTATTTCAGAGTCATTCAGCAATATTTGAGCCCAAATGGCAATACCATATCTTTAATCCCAAAATATTAAAGACTCATCTGACTCATGACTCTCACTATCTCAATCTTCCTATTTACAATTAATTACAAAATCCCTCTTAATTTCTTTTTGATACTGTCATATCATCTGACCTGTAAATTTATCTAGATTCAAACATCCATGATACAGCCAGTCATTCCAGGTGAAGTTTACCACACGAACTATGCCGATTATGATTCTTAGTGTACCCTTTGCCAGAAGATGACTTCTTAAACACTTTAAATTGAGAGTTCTTTGATCTAGCTCAAATATCCAATCATAAAGTTATACTTTCTGCCTATGAGGAGCTCACATGTAGACTACATGCATTCATTCAAACTCCAGGAAAAGATGAACACTCACACTACATTTAAAATTGACTTGGTGATCATCAAAACAATTAACTCATCTTTAATAGTCAGAGGGTAATATAGCTAGCTAATGGCTAATCAGGTTATATTTTAGGTCAATGGCCTTTAATCAGTTTAAAATGTCACCTATCTCTCTCAAACTCTTATATGCACTGATATGCACAACACATAGGTTGTTGAGTGCAAATGCTTTGTATATTCCAATATGTTATATTGTGAAATAAACTATATATTATAGAGTGATGTTCAAGACTCCAAATATAAACATTCAGTGTGAACTTTAGTCTTAACTGTTTAACAATATCAATGACGTAGGTTAAGGGGAGGCATCAAAAGTTCGATGTCGGATCGGAAACTAAATAAATCTAGTTTTGACTCAGACCCCCCCCTCCCCCACCAAAACTTAATACCGTGAAAGTTGATCGCTTACTTCCAGTTTGGGAATTTGAAAAATTATTGCTAAACACGATCTAGTTTTTGTTAATTCCTATCGTAATTTGCGGCTTTTAACAACTATTGATAGAATAGAATCCATTGGAATGATTCTGACGAAGAAAGCATCAGGTAAAATCTTTATTTTTAAACCATTCCAAGGCATTCTGAGTTGAAATTGCCAAAAATTTGAAATGTTGAAATTTGTCAGATAGCAAACTGAAATTGGTTTGAACCCCCTCCCCCCCTAACTAGATTTATTTAGTTTTCTATCCGACATCGAACTTTTGATGCCTCCCCTAAGTGCTCATGTATTTCAGAATGTTAACCTTATGAATGAATCGCCTAGATACAAGCCACTAAAACTCAAATAAAAGCATGTTTTCTCTGAACTTGGTCTGCGTTGACTGTTTGTTTGTAAACAAATCTGATTTATTAAATTGAACAAGGTGAGAAGAACATCTTGATCTATCTGAAGATATTGCATAGGCTGGTTGGAGTCGGTGTGTCAGGTGCAAGCAAGGTCTTGTTTTGTAAAAATAGATATTTAAGTACAATAAGGGTAACATAAAAGTGAAACCCATCTCTGGATTTACCATTTTAGAGGCATTCAGGTAGCTTGACTTTTACAAAAATCCAAAACAAAGTTTACAATACAGTAATATAAATTTATCAGGATAATTCAAATGCCTCATTATCGGAATTATTGGATTCATTATGTCAGATCAAACTATTAAATTAAGTCATAGAGCCCCAGTGGCAAGTAACCTTAATGTCAATATTTTCTTACTGAGCAGTGATCTCCCCAGGTGGGTGCAAAATCCTTATTTTCACAATTTAGACCAAAATTGGTCAAAATGTGCCAATTTTTCATGATTTTTCTCATTTTCAAGTGGGTGCAAATAGATTTTCAAATGGGTTATTTTTAGAATCTCAGGTGGGTGCTGCTCCCACTTGTTTTAATGCTGGGGGGATCACTGCTGAGTACAATTAGGAAGACCTTGCTATATCATACAACATGATAGATTTATGAATTGAACATTGATATTTTGTTCAAAATAACGTATAAAACCAAGGATAAATCTAAATTTACATATTTTACATTTGCTCTCTTTTGCTCAATGTCTTTAATATATAGAAAGCATACAAAATATTGCCCTTTGACTATAATAACACATATCTACATGTCTTTAATTCAAGGCTAATGTCAAAATCTATTATTTCTTACTTTTTAGGTACATGCAAAAACAATAAATTTTTTCTACTACTTATTTTGCTACAAAATCTAATTTTGAGTCACTTACATATAACAGCTTGTAGATCCTTAGTCTCCGTTTATAAATTGAATAACTATTAACGAATAATCTGATCTGAGTTAATAATCTAGTTTTATTTCTTTTTTAGACGAGTCAATATGTTATTTATAGCTGTCAAGGTTATACGTATTAATGAATTACATAATTAATTAGAAATTACCCTTGGCATCTAAATGAATGATTAATATCAAAATGATGACAGGTATCTTAACTACTTGTAGCAGTATATGATTTCATATTATA